CATGGCCGTGATCCATTTGGAGGAAACCATTAGAACAAACTGCTCTCAGGTGCAGCAAAGCAGACCGGGCATTATCATTTATGAACCAGATCACCCTGTGCAAGGACAAAGCCCAGATTGTGTGTGTCTCAGTGTGTGTGTGTGTGTGGGCCTTCACATCCTTCACCAAAGGCGTTGCATTCAAGCTGAAAAGTCGTGGAAAGAAAATGCGTTTTTGTTTATTGGTTTTCCTATTAAGTTCGGGGACAGTCCCCAAAAGCGCTGAACAACTTCCTGCTGTAACAGGTTACAAATAACCTCCTGATGTGAACAATTTCCCTTTACAATAACCAGTGTTTGTGTGGGGTTTTTTTATACAGTCAGCGTAAATGCTATGTGCTTGGTAGCACGTACTCTGCACAGTCATCTCAGAGATGTAATGTTAGATCCTTTTATGATGCTGTGGATGGATGCAGATGTTTTCTGGGCTTTGCATTACAGCACTGCGTTGTTTACAGTGGAAAACATTTCCATGTCATCAGCAGTGTCCCAGTCTCAGCCTGTCGAATGCACGTTAGAAACGTTTTAAAATAAGATAGTCAAAATGTGTTTGTGTAATCCTGTTGAGCATCTGCTCCAAAAAGCATGACTGTTTGTAAAGCTTTACTCGTGGGTTTATGCCAACAATGGTTTGATTGTTCCCATATACATTTGAAAAAGCCCTAATGATGAAAAGTACAGAAAACCCACAAAGATATATGTCGCCCTCTCGTGGTTATATTGGGACTTGCATAAAAAGACACACTCCAGCTTGGCCATCATTAATTCCATATGCGAGGGTTTATGCTGATGAAGCACAAAATCTGTGAATATTGTCTTTGGATACCATGTAAAATGCACAATGTATAAATTTATTTGTGGCCTGCGTGTCAATAGAACCGTCCTCTGGACAAATTTAAATCAAACAAACACAGATCAGTTGCCCTTTTCAACCAACAAATCCAAGTGTAGAGGGTCACATTTCCATTTTCAAGGATTTTGATGCAGTCACAGATGATTTTCTCAGACAATAACAGCCCACTTTGCAGCCTACACTCGATTCGTTTTGGCCAGCGGATCCACTTGCCGCAATCAACACATGAATGTTCCACATTTTTGTCATTTTTCTCAACATCCCTGATGTTGGAGTCTGAGTCATCTGCTTCCTCGTTATGCCAGCGTGAAGTCCGCCCACCGGTCATCTCGCTGTCTGTGAGGCGAACATGCACAGCACGAACATCCACGGCTCCACTGAGAGCTGTGCGCCACACAAAAGCAGAGCGTATTTTAAACTTCAAACATGAACAGCGTGACCTTTGTGTGGATGGGAGAACTTAATGTCAGCTGGATTTAGCTAGATGTCCATCGGCTTAAACTCTAAGAAACACCATGATGTTGGTATAAAGAAAATGTCCCTCTGAACAACTCAAACAGAGAAATCTACAACACGATCGATCCATTTTGTTTCGCTGCCTGAGTCTTCAGGTCCCCGGTTCATGTGATTAATCATTTTTCATTAAAGCCGAACCCCTCCGCAGAAAAAAAACAGCATTTCATAAAGATGTCTCTTTCATTTCCAAACGGCAGGGGTTAGTTCCATTGTGCAATCAATTATCGGTGCAGTCTGTGTGTGAATGCGCTCTGGCCATAAATTACAGCTCTGTGTGGGAAGATGGATGAAGCCAGCCAGAGGCGCTGAGAGGGAGCACAACCAGGTATGTGGGGGGGGAGGAGATGGTGATGAGAGAAACGAGGAGAAGAGCTTTGAGGCTTCGGCGAGAAGCTGCTGATGTGAGAGCGCTGTGGCACATCTCAGTCTGAAGACTTTTCACGATTTCTCCGGCTTTCTAAGTCACCCAACAGAGCTCCAACTCCAAAGGTTTGACTTTCAATCGCATGAAGAAATGATGACTGTGTCACAGGAACAAAGGCCTCCAGTTTAACTCCGAAGAGAATCTACTTTGACCACTTTCTGTCTCTAGAAATTATTCATCAGCCACTTGTTCTTTGTCAGCTCGGTTTGCTGTCTGAGCTCCAGTTTCCAGAGATTTCCTCCGGAGGACATCTCATAACTGCATCACAAACCACATCAGACCGGCAGCAGTCTGCAGGGGGTGGGGAAGGGGCTGGTTTCATCAATGACAAGTGTCCAAAACACCAGTGGTGCAGTTTCTCTGGCCATCACGACTCAGCAGGCCGAGTTCGGACCCACTATTTCTCTGTTGCATTTCACTGGAAGGCATCCCCTTTCACCAGCCCTGACACGGACATGTAATCTGCTGACAGCCGGGGGGGTTAGTTTCTCTTTCTGACCCCTGATCCTGTTGGACTGCACACATGGGTCTCGTGTGTGTGTTTTTCAGACTGTTTTCTTCTGTTTGACTCCTTAAAATGCAATTTCTGAAGGAAATAAGAAGCATTTATAATGATGATGATAATAACAACAACAATAATAACAACAACAACCACAACAACAACAACAACAATAATAATAATAATAACAATAATTTATAGCATTTATGATAATAGTGTGTAACAGTCCCGGTTACATGGTTGACCATCTTTGTGAACATCTGGCTGACTTGTTTTTGATGGCTTCTGCTTTTTTTCATAGTGAACACTCAGTAATCACACGCAGCAGCCATGTTGTTTTTACACCTCCGTGCTGAGTCCTTCCATCTGTCAGCGGCCTGTCCCGATTCACTTAGCTTTCCTCACAAAGGTCTCTCACATGATAAAACAGATTGGATTAGTTTTCACTTTTAGACTCTTTATGGTGGTACTGTTTATCTCTCTCTGAGCTTAAGTTCCACTGATCTGCTTCCAAAAATAAAAGTTACATTCTTTGTAAATTTGAACAAAAAAATTATCTGACCTGCTTTTGAATGATGTGGCTGTGTAGGGGAGGTTTGACTCTTGAATTGCTGTGCAGGTAATGTGGAAAAATCTGAAATAGTTTTTCCGTCGCAAAGTTTTTGTTGTGTGGGAACATCCCAATTTTTAACATACATTTAGTTGTAAGTGTGGAAAATACTTTAGATATGATGGAGTAGCTAACAGCAGGTCCAATCAATAAACGTCTAATAAATACAATCATATTTTTGTTGTCTATTAGTGTAGCCACATGTGTTGCTGTTTTTGTCTTAAGGAGACTGAGATTAATCCGTAGGAGTGGATGTGAATGTGTGTGTGAATATATACATTTCTTACTGATTTTCTACATGCTCACTGAAAGCAGTGTTTCACCACAATTCTTGTATTTCCTTCTAAGTCTTGGAAATATTTTCAAATGTGTTGAAATTTGAGAAAATAAAATCCCAAACCTGCAGTTTCCTTTTTCTGGCGACAAATCAAAAGGCCACGATGTAATAAGTCAACAATGAATCTTTTTATTTGATCGAGCTCATACGGTTTTGGTTCTGTAGCAACCTACGGAGTAATCCTAATGAAGGGCGACTGTACTCAAGCCGGTTACATTTGAGAGCGATGACAGGCACCTTTTGTGCAAATCGAACAGCGTTAGAATGGCTCCTACACAAACACAGCAAAAATACATGCCAGAGAAAAACAATGATTAAGTAGTACACATTGAGCAGAGTAAGGAAGACGTCCCTCCAAATAAACAGAAACTCAAGCCGACAGCCAAATCAGACACATGGGAGACGACAACCCCCCCATCCTCCTGATCTGTCCTCCCACAGAAAACGACTAATCAGAAACCAAATACTGTGCATTTCGACTTCAGACAAATCAAATAGACACTGCAAACTGAAAAAGCTGTCTGTGACTGACAGCCAGTAGACTGCTTCTCTGGAAAACTACGTCCAGACGCCACAAAAACTGAAGATTAAAGGTCCAGCAACACGGTTTTAGAGCAGTTTCTGGGACGAGGTGCGTACCAGGTTGGTCCCCGATCCGAGTTTAAAAAACAAGAGCCACCTTTGTGCCTGACAGGAGTAATTGTCTTGTGGTTGTTTTTTCCTCCGAGCATGCGGTTTCACGGGGATCCAAACATAGAGCTTAAAAAGGGGGAGTCGGCGGGGCGTTTGGGGGGGGGGCGCTCTGGTACAGACAGCACGGGGGGAAGTATGCGAGCCCCCGTCGTCCCTCACAGTGAACATCTAACAGCCCATAAACGAACCCCCCCACCCCGGAAACTCGTGTTGGTTAAGTTGGATGTTGGATGAGACAGTCGACACTTCCTCCCACTGAGGATTTCTTTTAAAATCCAACTTTAAAAAAAAAAAAAAGGAAAAAAAAAATCTGTATCGCGTGCATTAAACCAAACCGTTCTAACGGGTTAAGAAAGAGGAAACGAAACATTAAATCAACTTCTCTTCGCGGCCGCGTGCGGAAACTAGAAGGAATCGTTAAAACGTGGCGCGCGGTTTGAATTGACTCTCTGAAACGTGGACTGGTGATGGAACCTTCCTCCTGTTCGGGAGAGCTCCTCTACATTCTACAGCTTTCCTTTAATGTACAATCAAAGAGCCACATTGAAATCTTTTACATCCTAGAACGTAACGGCATCAACAAAAAAAACTACCCGGGCTGCGCTCCGAAGGCGGCCGTCAGAAAGTAAACTTACGGTAATATACATATTAAATAGTGTATAGTCCATGCATTGGCGCACGGTGGGGGTTTGCATCGTTATGGTAGGTCGTTATTAATGTATGGGAGACGTCAGCCGCCAGTGCTTTTCCGATTCCAGGCTGAGGGAGGAGGCCTCCTCCATCCCCGTCAGGAAACTCTCAGCCAGACTTGAAGAGCAGGATGGCCACCTGGCCCAGGTAGAAGTAAATGAAGTGCTTCGTCTCGTGGGTGACGTAGCTGCCGAAGTTCCTCCCCACGATGCAGTGCCAGGTGGGGTTGTACTTCTTGTCGAACTCCTGAAAAAGAGGCAAAAGGCAGAGGTGAGCGGACGCCGGTGGGAGGAGTTGGGGGGGCAGAACCCTGAAAACTACAGAGATCCCCTGTTACTCGTATCCCAAAAAGCCACACATGGATTAGCCATCCTGAGTTGAGTTTAGGAATCAACCACAGTGTGGAGCTGGGAGCAGTTTAGATCTTTTGGGGATTAAAAACCAGTTCATTTCTAGAACGGTTTAGACAAAAAGAAAATGCTGGGTGACCCACTAAGCGGTCAGCGGGTCCCAGATAATGGATTTTATGGCTGCGGACCAGAAGAAGTGAGGCGTCAGGACTCCAGCCGCCTGCCCGTTAGTCTCACTCCTGGCTTTTCCTCCGTGGCGTTCCACAGTTGGGGGCTGAGCCCGTGCGGGCCCCGGTTGCTAGGCATCTGTGAGGTCGCACGTATGGTCACAAATGCCCCCTTGAAGCTCTCATGCTCGACCGGTGACCTTCTGCTTCGGCCCTTTGGGATTAAGGCCCACCTTTGTGACTGAACAGGTTTTTTTTTCCGGCTAGACTCGGACTTTTTCATGTCCACATAAGGTAAAGACCTCCGATCGGAATGCTGCCGGGAAAGTTAAATCCCCTCTTTAGGAGCTGGTTCACTTTTGGTTTTCCCTTCTGTGTGTTTATTTTCTGTAAAAAGCCCCAAAGCACTGAGCTGGTCCACCTCATTCAGGCTGAATTAGACTTTTTTCTGTTTACTTATGCATATAAAAAGAACTCAACACAAGGTGTTTTGGGGGGGTGTGTGGGGGGGGGTCTGATGAGTGAAACAATCCTAAATAGAGGCCTGATGACTGGAGCCTGGTCTCCACACTGAGATCCAAAATAGATGCCAGAACACAGAAGGCTGCAAACGTGCACATCATGTGCCACCATCAGCTTGGATCCACGCACCCAGGCACGCGCGCACGCGTCCTGTCTCACCTTCTTTATGTAGGCAGCGATGTCCTTCTCTATGTTGTACTTCTCCATGGCCTGCGTGGCACAGTCCACGGCGTCCTGCTGCATGTCCTCCGACATGTCGGCGTTCTTGATCACCGCCTTCCTGTCGGTCATGGTCGGGGCTGGGTTTTTTTCTACGGACAGAAGGACACGGGCTCACTCGCACCGAAAAACGGCCAGTGCACGTGGCGGGGATGGGGATGCGTTAGGCCGCCCCCCCCCCCCCCCCCCGGGGCCCCCCAAAAACCCGGGGCGGGGGCCCCCGGTTTTCGGGCCCCCCACCCAAACCCCCGGTTGGGCGGGGGGGGTTTTTTTTTTTTTTTTTGTCCATCCCCCTCGACTAAACCCGCGACGGGAGCGTTGCGTAGATTAGCTGCGAAACTTGATACAGGTGGAGTTGGATTACTTAGCAAAATCACTTTGGGATGCAAGCATCTTCACCAGAGCAGCAACATTATTAACGTGAATCCAATTGCATGCTAATGCAATCCAGTCCAAGCCAATGAAACACACACCTCCAACCAGCCAACGTGCACTGAGACAAACAGTAAAGAATAATAAATAAATAAAAAAGAAGCCTTTGGAGAAACTCGATTCTACATATCTCATTTTTTTAAAAATCAGTCAAGCTTCTCGAGATGAAAAATAAATGGCACCCACCTTTTGTTACGCCAACAGAAATCACTTGCTGGTGAATGTTATGGATTAGCCCAACTAACTAGTGGGAAGGTTTGGATGATGCTGCGGCTAATTGCTTTTTAAAGATTTCCACAGTAAGCATGGAGGCAGCAGCAGTCTCCGGCAGCCCCGGCAGCTCCCCGCCCCCCGCCGCCTGCGCCGGGCTGCCATTGGCTGGCCCGCAGCCTCCCGGCCGCCGCGCGCGTTTTTCTCCAGCTCCCCTCTGCCGGCATCTTATTTCCTCCCACAATGCACCGTTGGCGGCACGCTCGGCCGGCCGTGGGCCGACCGGAAGCGGCACCTGGCCGGCCTGTGTGAGGGGGAGAAGGAGCCCGAGCTCCGGGGTCAGATTCAGGAGGCCCACAGACCCCGTCCAGCACGAGGGAGACCTCCTGCCCCCCCAATTTAGAGTAAACAAACAGTGTCATGAATAAAAACAAACAAAAGTGTCCTGTTTGGAAGTGTTTTATTGAAAATGCTAAGAGAAAAAGAAAGATTAAGCAAAAAAACAAACATACAAACTATTCCCAGATGACCCCCCCTCCCTGTTTAATTCAATTCCCTCATACCAGGCATCTACGACTCCATCCTTTGATCCAACTTCCTGGTCCTCTGTTTCGTTTTCTTGTACAATAAAGCCATAATCACTGAAAAACTCAAAAGATAGGCAGGGGGCCTAAAACAAAAAGAAAAAAAAAAAAGTTGCTCTGGGACTCCTGTTAATTAGTTCTGATATCAACTCATTTGAATCCTCGAAAACGACTCCCGTTCCGAGCATCCATCCTTGCCTATCCCTTCCCTAATCGATCCACTCATCCAGCTCCAAGGATTGGGATCCACTGAGTCACTCCTCCAATCAAAACCTTGAAATACCAGGAAGAAAAATCAGAGGCAGACTGTTAGAATAAAATGTCAAAATTTTTGGGCCTAATTTTGTTTTCCATTTTGAGCACTCATGTCAGACCAAGGAAAAAAAAATGCCACTGAGCACAAAAACTATCGCTCCCTGGAGGTAAAACATGTTATCCACTGAGGACATTTAAAAGTGGGACGCTTTTGTAACAAAGTGAATCTGATTTTTTACATTTGACAGCAAAGGTGTTACACTTACATCACAACACTTGATTTAGGACTGCTTATTCTGTCACAGGCCAAAGTAGCATGTTAAAGACTATATATAACAAAGTACAGCACATATGGCTTTGTTAAAATGACATGCATGACATGGCAACCTATCAAACGTTCAATTTATGGAATATGAAGCATACCATTGCCTCGACCTGATTGCTCCTAGATGTCCTATCCTGACCATACAAATGAAATGTGCTCCACAATGGTTTTATTCCAAATCACTTTAATCCTTCTCCTCAGATGTCTAAAGGAAGACACAAGGGTAAAATACAGTTAAGCATCGGGCTCCCCGTCAAAACGGCCCACCCACCATACCCAAAGTGAATCTACTAAAAAATAAAAACTCCAAAACAAATCTTCAACTTTCAATACTTGCAAAAACATTGAGTGCAGCTCAACGTTTTTGAAGTTCAACACAGCACAATTTGTTTGTAGCAAAACTGAGATGACAGAAAGAAAGGGGAAGAAGGAGAAAACAAAAAGGACAAAGCCACTAGAGGGGGAGAGGAGAGGAGAGAGGGGGCAGCGGGTGGGAGGGGGGGGTACATCTACATACCAACACCATCCACAAGGACATCGGGACAAGAAATGCAAAAATTAAAAATCAATAGCTGACATCTGGTGAAACTTAGAGGTAAAAACAGGAGGGAATACATCAAAAGGGCAAAACATCGATGGTAGTAAAGTTTAGGATCGGGAGCGAGAGCGGCTGTGGCGCGGCGAGTAGCGGGGCGATCCTCGGCCGCGGCCCCGGGAATTGCTGCGGCTGCGGCTGGCGCTGCGACTGCGGCTCCTGCTCCGGCTGCCGCGGCTCCGGCTTCGAGATCTTCCATAACTCGGGCTGCGGGGACCATCTAATTTCACACGAATGTAAGCCGTCTCTCCCTGGCGGACACAAGAAAACTTGACATTGAAAAGACAACATACCTGCCTCCGGTGGAAACACAGATGGACGCATTCGGCTGGGCGCTGGTCAAAACGAGCCCGCCTCTTATCCAAGTACTCACCTCCACACAGAAAAATTATCCATGACATTAAATCAAATCAGTACACATACCTCATGCGAGCGGAATTTGGTGTTGTCCAGTTTTCGAACGGCATAGGTCATGTCTTCTTTGCGAACAAACTCTACAACTCCGGTTCCATCCCTGTAAACGTCGGCATAGCACACGTCACCAGCCTCACGCATGTGGTCCTTCAGGTCCTGCCAGCTGCCACTCTGAGGAAGACCTGCACAGTTAACAGGGTTACGTTAGCTCACATGTACTGAAAACCCCAGATAAGTTTATGAAATGACGAATGAATCATATAGCGGACTAAATCTGTTTCCCACATATTTCTGCCACGGTCTGCTAATTCTGAAAAAGGAGATTTATGTGGGGAGCATCAACCTCTCTCATAGATCATTCATCAGCAGCTTAGTGTTTCTTAAAGGGCCCAGAAACGTTTTCAGTTAACCAATACTGCCTCAACAGAAACCAAGTTAGATTTGTCATTTCTAGTGCCACACATTTTATTCACAAATAAAAATTTAAATCACATGGTGACCCATTTATGCTGAAGTCTCTGATCACTTTGTGAAGCACATTACAAGCAATCATGCATGGAGCTGCCCGCCATTGACCTTTGCGATGTGAAATGTAAATAAATGACTGGCTTGTGCTTTTACCTGACACCACGACCCTGTACTCGGAGCGCCTGGACGGCGGCCCGTATCTCCCTCTGGGCGCCCCGCCGATGCCTCCAAACCCGCCTCCCCTGGAGCCTCTCCCGCTCCGAGGGAACTCCACGCGCAGTCTGTAGCCGTCGTAGTCATAGCCGTCGCGTCCGTAGACCGCGTCGTCGGCGTCCCTGTTTTTAAAAAAGAGCGAGCACATGATAAACCCCGTCCCAAAAGCGTGGGGCGGCCGGTCGCACATGCACGGAGGCAGGCACGGCAGCCATGTCGGTAGTCCTTAACCCCTGCTAATCCGCCTAGCAGCCGTGCAAATCACGTCGGCGTGTTAGCCTTTTGAGGGAGAAGCTGGAATTTCGCTGACAAAACGGGAGCAGCGAGAGAATGGCCAACCAAAAATAGTGGCGCGAAAGCAAACGTTTCAACCAACCTGGAGGGGCTGAGTCGCCGCAAACACGTTGCGCGAAATAATGTGGTCAGGCTTTGAACCGAGAATGAGATGCTAACACCACAGCTACACAGTTTAAGTATTTTGGGATTGAGAATGATGAACACAACTTTAAGGTGCAAAAACAAACCAGGCGAACACGCCACGTTTGGTCCCGAGAACAATGCAAATCCAGAAATTAGACTGAGCCCTGAGCAACGCGTTAGCAACACAATGGGGACGGCTGCGGCCTAGCATGCAACGGCTACCTCCTCACCTCGGGTCCTCGAACTCGATAAAGGCGAAAGGCGGCCCCCCTCTCCGGTTCTTCAAGTCGATATCTCGGATTGTTCCGTACTTGTAGAAAACGTCCTCTACATCTTTAGTGCGAATGTCTGGGGGCAGATTTCCAACGTAAATTCGGCAGTCGTTGTTTCCAGCGGGGCCTCGCACTACACCCGACATGGCTCCTGACTGGGGCTGCTAACGGCTTCTTGCTTGCAGAATTGACAGCGACCGACGACGAGGTTTGAATGGGGGCGACTGCAAGATGCCGACCGCTTTATGTATAATAATTAATAAAGTAACGTTTCTAATGCACTAAGTGGTATATTAACAAGGAGACGAAACTAGAAACGTGACCCTATCTACTCCTGTTTTCCTCTGGGTACGCGCTACTTCACCGTGGCTCTCATGAATACCGGAAACACTGCAGACGTACTCGCCACATCCGCCATAGAAAATAGTCCAACCACGTGTGCTACACCGTCTATCAACAATCAATAACGTCTGTCGTAGAAACACCAAGCTGCTACTTTATTATGCAAGGACTTTGTTTGTTGGAAAACACGCTGCACAATTTAAACAGATTGGTGTCAATTCAATAAGTGAATACTGAAACAATCAAACAACATTACTCACTAACAGGGCCAAATGAGCCTGGTTGTGGCCTCCCTGGGACATTGGTAATATTTTAAAGGTATAAGTTAGCTACTCAGACAAAACTCTTTCAGTCTGGATAAAAACATTGAAACACTAGACACAATGAGTCAAAAACGTAAAGTTTTATTAGTATGAGTCCTAATGCCAATTATAGAGATGGATTTAATTGTTAGAAGGCTAATTTATATCATTCAAGTATTAAGCTTACACCTTTTTTGGGTTGTTTCCTGCTAATAAAATGTGTAAGACATAAAGAGATGTAAAATCTCAAAATGGCTCATTTTAAACACAGAAAGCAAACTGCACAAATGTGACATTTTCCACTATGCACAAAGTTGTCAAGAGATGAAAAAACATTTATAATTAGATGTAGATAACTCCGGAAATACGCAAAAAACTATCATTCATATCTATAATAAAATGCATTATTCAGAATAGAGTAATTCTTTGGTGATTCTACTACTTTTCAATTTGAGTACACTTAACTAAAGCCTTGATTAAGAGACAAACGTAAAAATACTCTGCTTTTACAATATGTTTAGTTAATGTTTGAGTACTACAGAAATAATGCCAAAAATTGTGTAAATCAATATTAAGTGTAATTCTATTGTGAACATGGGCGTTTTAAAAAGAAAAAAATAATAATAATTCTGATGGATGATGATCAACCTTACCCTCACTTGAATTATGTTTTTCCTCATAAAATATAATAAATAAGCATGTTCAAGAAAAATTGGACATCACATGAAAACACCAGATTTTGCAGGACAGTTTTATTTCATCGTTATCTATATCCTAGTAGACAATTTTCTAGAGAACAGTCATGAGGATAACACCACATGTGTTGTTTTTATCATTTTGCATATGGTGCTTTATGTCCGTGGAGAGCAGTGGCAAATTAGCATATTTCCATTTATGCTAAGCAAATGATAAACAACTCAGAGTCACTCATGCACACACACAGAGAAGCTTTGTATAACTAGAGTACACTTTCAAGTAATAGGTGTTGTGGAACAGTATCACCTATATGAGATATTAAGAAGTTTTAACTATCTAAATAACTGTTACATAAACTACTATAATTACACTGCGGCCAAAAACTCAGTGTCACGACCGTGATGTCCAAAAGCTTTAGTTCGAGTTTGGCAAAAGAAAAAGAAACACATGCTCTCAGTTGTTTTCACACCGTCATTTGTGTCTATGTACCCTTCAGATAAAGTATCTAAAGCAGAATTAATCTGTGCTACATCTTGACATGGAATTGATGGACACAACGGTGGTTGGGTTGGGACTCCTTGTGCTCCTCAGTATGCGTGGCTGGAGCCGTAGACGCGCTGGCCCGCCTCGCCGTGGTTGTCACCGCCGGTGTATTTTCCCCGACACGCCAAACTGTTAATCTGTGGGGAGATTTAGCGATTAGCGGGTCGTCAGCGTGTGTTTCGTCCGCAGTAAATGGGGACTGAAGTACCTCTGCCCTCTTGATGAACTGCTCCGTAGCGGCCTTCTCGTTCTCTTTGTGCCCTCTCCAGGCCCGGAGAGCAGAGGCCTGCAGGGCTCGGCCAAATGAGAAGGTCAGGATCCAGGGTTTGGCCAGAGGGCAGTTGTTGATTGCGTTTAGATTAATTGAGGCCTCCTCTTCACTCTGACCCCCCGAGAGGAACGCGATCCCTGTTGGGGGGGGCAGAAACTTTATCCAACCCTGTCTCTACAGTCCTCCCTCGTCTCCGTTCGGGGTCTGACCTCACCTGTGACGGCTGGGGGGACCGTGCGTCGTATGGCGGTGACGGTTGCCATGGCAACCTCCTCCGGGCTGTACTTGATGGAGCAGCTGTGTCCCGGGGTGACCATGTTGGGTTTGAGGAGGGTTCCCTCCAGGTACACGTGGTGATCGGACATGGCCTTGTACACCGCGGCCAGGACCTGGAACACAGGCGGCGTTCTAGTGGAGAAGCCAGCTTAAGAAGGAAAAAAACTAAGAGAATCCGGGGGGGGAGGCCCACCTTCTCAGTGACGTACTGGCAGCGCCTCAGGTCGTGGTCACCATCGGGCAGGACCTCCGGCTCTATGACGGGAACAATGCCGTGCTGGGCAGCAAAGGGAGGAGGGTCAATGGCCGCTGAGAGATCTAAAGCCGGGGCGTCGGCCCACAGGCGCCTACCTGCTGGCAGATGCTCGAGTAGCGCGCCAGAACGTTTGCGTTCTCCGTGATGGCCAGTTTCGATGGATTGGCCTCGCTGATTTTGAGCACGCAGCGCCACTTCGCAAAGACGGCCCCGTCTTTTTTGTACTGCGCGCAGCGTTCGGATAACCCATCCAGACCTGTGGAGAGACACATGAAGATGTGCTGTTGGGGGCTTTGCAAGCAAAATAGTATTGTATAGTATAGTAAACTGTTTTGAAAAGATGTGCCTCTCGGACCTTGTGTGGTTGTTTCTCCACATGTTCCTGCCAGGGGGACTACACCTTTGTCAACCTGATTAAGAGTAAGCCAACAGAACTCTAATTAGGAATAAGCGGTATTGATAATGGATGGATATATAGATATCTATTTAGCAATAGATGTAAACGGATGTAGCAAGTTTAGATTTCAGACCTTGACGCCAACCAGGATGCCTCTGTCTCTGATCAACTTGACAAAGGGTACTCCGTTATCAGTGTGCTGGTACAGGGTCTCGTGGAAGAAGATGACTCCTCCGATGCAGCCATTGATCCGGTCGTCTGCACTGAAGAGGATCTGCCGATACTGCCGGCGGTTCTCCTCCGCGTTCTCCACTCCAACCTGGGCCAGACGCTTGGCCATGCTGCCTGTGGGATGTACAATGTAAAACGGAGAACTAGGGTCTGTTCTGGGTGGTTGAAAACACTTCTTTCTTTTTTTTTTTTTTACGGCACATGCAAAGGACTTTTGAACAGAAATAGGCAGCGGCGCTACAGACCCACAGACTCATCTGCAGCCAGGATGCCCTTCCCTGGAGAAACTATGCGTAGAGCTGTCTCGTGCAGCTCCCTCTTCTGAGCCTCAGAGAGCGTCGGGAACTGGTGCGTCATCCTGAGACTGACTGTCCGAAAGGCCTCTGGCGAGAAATGCAATGTTTCGATTATTCGGCAGGAAAAGAAAAACCCTTTGGAAATTGATCAGGCCACAAAAGCTCTTTGGTTTTATCTCTATTTAACACGTTTCTCTTTTTCTTCCATAAAGAGAGTGGAGACATGAGGTTGTAAGAGGTGGTTTTCAATGATATTTTATAAGATGATTCCAAATGAAGGAGCTGAAATGATTCGTTATGCTTTTCTGTCTTTGCTGTTTAAATTTACTATTGATAATTGCTTTTGAAATAAGCATTACGACTGTGTTATTGTTAAATATGCAGATCTAAAAAATGTCACTTTGTGTAAAGAATGTGCCAGATAACTTGTCCTTTTTAAATGCACAATTATATAAGCGGAAAAACACATATATCTCCTCTGCCTTCTTTATTTTTGGTCCTAAAAGAGACCTTTATTTCTTTGTTATAATTTCACATCAAAGTGGAAAATGGGAACAAAGAAATGTGGAAGAGTTTCCATTGTAATCAAGGGAAACATGTTCTAATTGACCACTAAACCATTCAATTAGACATGAAGAGTCTTTTTAAAAAATCCGTTAAGGTGTAATAGTTTTGTTTTGTTTTTTTAATCAAACAAGTAACTTCAGAAGAAGTCAAGCTTCTTACCTGGGAGTGAAATCCAAAGTGCCTCCTCCACAGATGTGACGGATTGTGATGGAAGCTTTCTGACAGCTCGGGTTTGTATGCACCTCAAGTGTGTCACACCTCATAAGGCGGGGCTTGTTCACCCATCTTTGTCCCACATAAGTTAGAAAAATCTTGATGATTCATTGTTCTATTTAAACATTCTGGTGTTCTTTTTTTTGTGCAACTCCTTCTTTTTCATCCACGTTTCTTAAGTCGCTTTGCAAAGACCAACTCAGTGTGGAGCTCAGAAATATGCTGAGTTGAAAATCATTCTATTTCAGCTTCCATACTCGCATGTACAAGTTCTCCCAACCATTCCTGCTAAAGTATTATGGATCCCACCCCGAGCTTAAGGGACATGAGAGACATTGACAATTGTATTCCATTAGAAATTTATGTCCTTATAGCAACCTAATTTAAGCATTTAACCATTCCCCAAAGGCATCCTATTTTTATCTTAATTAGTCAAAATTTGCCCAGAGAAAGGTTCCAGGTCTCCTGATAATTTGGTCTTCATGCACTCAAATTCACAAGAGGCTTCAGGTCTCAGAGCAATTCGTGATCTCGCTGCTTTAGCTTTTGAGCTTTAAACTGTAAAGACTGTGAGGGATCACTTCAAAAATAGAAAATAATTTGCAGGTTCAGTCAGTGTAAAGTAACACAGCAACAGGGCACATACTGGACATAAATGAGGTCATATACTGGATAGAATTCCTACCGAAAAGAGGTGATTTTTTATTCTTTTATGCCATTTTGCAATCTGAGACTCTAAACTTTCAGCCACTCTAAATAGATTGCATTTTTTTTAGTTAAATGAACAGATAAATGGAATGATGCTTCTCGTAAACCGGAGCGGCCATTAGCTTTTGGATTTGGTTGTGATGAGCTGAACCCTGTTGCTCTCTTAGCTTCATGCCATGCTGTGTTTTCTTTTTTTGTCGTCCGTTTGGTAACATGTTCCCGTTCAGTGGCCTTCGAGTTGAACACCTCCCTGGAATTTCGGGGGACTCCTCTGGTCGCTATTGTGTGTCAGTGGGCCTGTGAATTGGGTCACTGGACTGCCTACCACCACACATGCACAACACACACATGGCGGACCTGTCTAAGACAAGGGCCTGAGAGGGAATTCAATGTCAGGAGGCGGCAGGGGGAGGAGCTGGTGCTCTCCCATTCAGGAGACGCAGTTTTAAATAGATATACGACTTCAAGAAGTACAGCAATTATACGCGGCGGCCTCCTCTGGGAGCCCTGACTCTGTCTCTGTTACCTAATTAAACACATTTAATCATGGTACTTTATCCGGTCCTCAATTTGCTAACCTATTATGTTTGTCCTCAATGGGTTTGTGAGGGATCCTCTAAATAGGTCAACCAGCGGATGAAAGTTGGCGACAATGAGTCCAGGACCAGAATTCATAAACCCACAGCTGATGGAAGATTAACAAAGCTCATGGACAAAAAACGTCAACATATTTACAATTATCTGGGGTTTTTTGTTCGTTCTTATTTTGTGCAATTTTAACAATTAAAAGTAAGAAATTTTGTGGGAATTTTTAGTTAATCAGAACTGAAAGACATGGGTTATCTCTGCTTTACAGTTTCATTGTAAGCATCCCAAATCTTTTCCAATGTGAGCCTAAAGAAAGAGTTTAGCTGAATCCAGTGTGTTTGCCTGAAGCTCATTCTTATGTAAAATAAGTTTGCTGTGGTTTAAATATGAATAATAATAATAAATGAGAGATTAATATTTCAAATATAAATATTTTAATCTGGTTCCAATCAAAGGAACCTACCTCTTCATATTGAAACTGTAGGAAGACTGATGGGGTCAAAGAAAAAGAATTGTGATCATGGTGTTGTCTAGACTGGTTGCATTTGAACCTGCTTCAAAATCAGTTAATTCCAGTATTCCTCAGCTCAGTCTCACATATCCTCCTATTTTATCATTTGTTGAAAACAACTAATGAGCAGATGGCAGGGCCAGCTGATAGAACATCTTTGGGTGACTTGGAGGGAAAAGAGGAGGACAGGAGGGTGTGGAGATTTCAGGTTTGATGATGTAATACACCCTGTGATTTAATAAACATAGTCTAAACACAGTTCCAACTCACTCCACATTATATTTCCAAATTCCCCCAGATTGTTAATCCCAGAAGAGCCCCATCCTGTTCATTCCATCCTCTCCGCTGCTGCTGATGGAATATAGGGTGTTATTCCAGGTGGTAAACTGAAATTAAAAATAGCTTGGGGCTGACTGGGTGAGAAGGATGTGGTTCCCCATATGTCTCATTAATCTTATGTAATTTGATTAGTGTAAAAAAAAAAGAAACATGAGGGAAAGTCAGACTTCTTTTTCTTCTCTTCTCTTCTGCATCGGAGCGCCTGTTATCCTTTTATTTCTCCATCCGTAGTTTGAAAAATACTGAGTTTTCTGAGGTTAAGTAAAAACCTACCTCAATTATGTCAGAGGCAGCTACTTTGGAAGTTTGTTCTTTGGACACAAATTCAGACTTTTGGGAAAAAAAACATGTTTTTCTTTTATATTATTTTAAGCAAATTAACCCTGTGAAACATTCAATGATGAAAGGAGACAGAGCAGTTTCTAAACATAACAGAAAACCAAGGATCAATTTAAAATGATCTTTTAAAATCTGTGGTCACTTACTTACTAGAAGCCTGTTGCAGATTCATACGTGTCACCAATATCGAAAAGATCCACCACGCACCAAACTATCATTAGTAAGATAATAATACAAATATCAAGTTTTCAAAGCCACTTAGTCACAACATTGTGACATAAAAATTAAAAAAACTTACTTGGATCATTTAATACAATTCTATTAATCTTACCCCGCAAGGAACAAATAAAGAAATAGAAAGGTAGTTTTTAAAAAAAGGAAAAGCCTCCCCCTCAACATTATTGTTCTTATGCTTAAACAGATTGTTATATATAGTCACTATATGATTGTGATACGATTTAGGCCAATAGGAAAAGAAGAAACACAAATAAAACGTTTTCTGCATATTACTTTTAAGATAAACTTTGCATAAACAAAGGCAATATAAATTGTTTTTAAAGTAAAAAAAAACAAGGCGAAATGAGCTTAAGTTACACTGGTAAATAACATTCTTGTGCTACGTGACACAGAAGCAAAGGTTAATGATTACAGGATAATTTCAGGTGAAAACATCCATCCATGACTTTTATATATTATTTCTTTGACACTTTTAGGGGGGTGCACCGTTCCTGGAGGTACTGCAATACCAGGTCGATGCGTGGAGTGGACGGAGCAAGCCCCTATTCCATCTCCCTGTTCCAAAAATCAATTTAATATATGGTCCCCGATAGGGGACGTATCAGATATTAAACTGATAAGAACAGATACTACACTTGATCTTAGCCAAAAGGCCGAGAAGCGATACTCTACCCAGATCGGAGGAAACTCTATAACCCACCGCGACGTCGTTCTAAGTCACGGTTTTAAAAACTCACAACTAAACTATCGATGGGTCCGGTCAAAAAACAAACTATAGCCATTTTAAATGGTTCCCATCTCTCGTGGGTGTTGTGAAGCTAAAATAAACTACGTTAACTAATGTCACAAAAAATAAGACCCGGAGACTTCCTGGACACGTGGTACGCTTTGGGCCAATAGGAAACGAGGAAACACAAACAACTATAATCAAACACGCTAATTCAAATTTAAACTCAAAGTGGAAAAAAACAAAAGCTGTAATAAAAAATCTAAGCTTAAATAAATAAAGTTAGATAAATAACTTATGATAAATCATTGATAATATATGATTTCAGGTCTGTTCATTTGAGCTCATGCTCCGTGTAGGAGCACGTTAACTGGGAGGAGATGATACGTTCACAGTCAAACTTAAAAATCTGGTCGAGCGAGGCTCCTCTCCTTGATTTAGCCGCCCAGTCAGGGTGCTCCCTGAGCTTGAGGATGAAGTCCACTGGTGTTTTCTGAAGGATGTAAGAGTCAAATGAGATGCCACGGAAGAAGGGCCGCATCTTGAAAGACTCCAGGTGTCGAAGGCGGTTCGCTGGGTTTTTGCATAAAAGCTGAACCAGTAAAGACAGAGAGTTTTAAGCTGGTCAGTGTTTTATCCAGATCCAGGAGCCCACAAGCGCACTCACTCACAGTTTGCTTACGTCGGTCAGAAGTAAAGCCAGAGCAGAGCTGAAGGTCTTCGGTATGGCATAAGGAAAATCTCTGGCCTTCCTCCACATACGCCTGTGGTCCGGTTCTGCAGCCAGCGGAAACTGTAAGACAAGCAAATCCAGGAAAACTCAAAAAGACTCCAGCTAGTGCCCTGACATGAAGAGATTCTGTAAATATTACCTCTCCTGCTACAAGTGTGAACAACAAAATGCCCAGAGACCACCAGTCCGCGGCGTGGTTGTACGGACCCCCGCTCAAAACCTCAGGAGCTGTTCCAGGCAAAAAAATAAATAAAACGGAAGGAAATCCAGATGATGCAAAAAAAATTAAAAATGAAAGGGAGATGGAAAAAAGTCACCACAAGGACAAAAAAAAATAGTTATATTACTAATACAACCAAAATAAACTACAGACACCTCATCCTCACAACCGGGTCATCTGAGTCCAGTGGAGAAAACACAGGCGTGCTTTTAATAAAGAGAGCAGGGTTCCATCACAAGGGAAAAAACAACCTGCAAGACACAGCGGGCTCGACTAATCACTTGGAGTCCTCTCCTGAGAAAAGGATGAGATCTCACCCATGTATGGAATCGTCCCACATATGGTGAACGCCCGTCCTCCTCGAACGAGCCGGCGCGACAGCCCAAAATCCGACAGCCGGAGGTGACCTGAATCCAGACAAAACACAATGAAACCAGTGTGTTCCCAGACACAGGGACACGTTGTGATGCCAATGTTCTGTTAATCATTTGTCACTTAGGCGCCATTTATAAGAAAAATGGGCCACTTTGCTGGTGTTGTGGTCTTTTGGCTAGTGTGACTTGTCTGATTTGTGTCTCCTGTTGACAGTCTGAATCGACTGTAGCATGCTTGAATTTAATTATGCGCATCACCGTTTGTCTACTCTAAACTATCAATTCGCATTGAGAAATGGCTTTAATTGCAGATGTGCCTTACCTCGATCACTTATGAGAATGTTCTCCATCTGTAAAACCAGAAATCACTGTTTTCAAGAGTGAGAAATAGACATATTTGGAAATCTAACATCTTCATACCAACCATACCTTTATATCTCTATGCATGATTCCTAAGTCTTGAAGGAATCCTACAAAGATAAAACAAAAGGACAGATTGCAAGGCAGACGAAACAAAAAGACTTTTCTGAGAAAGTGTATTCCTCAACCATCATTTTTACAGCACAACAAGTTCAAAGTAAAAGACAGTGTGGTGTAGATGATTTGGAAACCCACCCAGAGCACCGCCCATCTCTGCGGCAAAGAGCCGGACCTCAGCCTCCTGGAAGCGGCCCCTCAGCAGCCAGTAGGTGTACAAGTCTCCAGCGCTGCAGTAGTCGCACACTTTGGAGCACCAGACACAAACAGGATTTATTACTGGGGATGGAAAATGTGGTTGGACCAAAAAAAACGTATTTCTGTCTTGTTACTCTCCTGTTGGGTGTTTAACTATAGCAGCAGTTTATAAAGAGAATCAATGATTGTTCCCTAAAAAACAACAACAAATACCTACAGATTGGTAGTTGGTAAAAACAGGAAAATCAAACAGCGGCTGCACCGAGATTTACCCAACACTGTCATTAGAAGGCGAGAAATCTCTTAACATTCAGTGTAGAGAGCTTCTCCACCGGTCGGCAAAGTTTGACGTAATTGCAAGAAGAACGAGGGGAAACTTTACTTTTCAGGAACACAGAAATGATGGAGGGAGAAAGAAGGGCTGAACTGGGCCATGGGTTAGTTTTTTCTCACTCACTGATGAAGATGTGGTGGCGCGTCTGCCAGCAGCGGTGCAGTTTGTGGATGAAAGGGTGTTTGAGCTGCCTCTGCAACACAACAGTCCACACACACACACACACACACACACACATACACACACACACGCTTAACAGTCCACATGACGGCCAGGGATCAGCATCAGGCTTCAACTTTACAACTTTTTAATTTTCACTGACAGAAAGATGTAATGTTGGACTGGTAAGATGAAGATGAGTTAAAACGGCCCTCTGACATCAGGTCTCAGAGATACTCTCCAGTCATATTGGGATTTTCTCCAAATAAAATAGGCGTCAGAATTTCTTTCTGCAGGCCACAAATATTTCTCTGTCTTTTTCTGAGGAGTGTCATATAAAGGCCATTAAATCTTATGATAGCTTAGCTAATTTAAAAGCTTTTTGTCCATGATAAACAACCAAAAAATTGGAAGCAACTTCTAACAGTGCAATTGGCTTTCTTTTACTATCAGGGAGTTGAAAATGACTTGACCTGATCATGGCTGCTCATCATTTTTTTAAAAATACGAATCACTGAAAATTTGAGAGTTTTGTTCAAAACATTTTTGTCCTATAGTCCAGTCATAGGTTTTCAAAGGAGGCGCTTTTTGTTTAAATGAATTGGTAAACTAAATAAAATGATACTGTCCATGTGTCTTTTATGAATGATGAAGAAGGTGGGGTGGAATCTGTATGAGAGCTCAGTTATCGCTCTGTCTGAGGCTGAATCTTCTACCTGAATGATGACTTCCCCTTTAGACTGCTCCAGCAACTTTTGCTTCAAGATCTCCGACTTTGATAGAACCTGTGCATCAATACATGTGAATCATTAGAGCGAGATCACAAAAAGCATCACAGATGTGTTCACCACCGTTTAACTGACCTTAACAGCATAAATCTTCTCCTTGGAAATATCCTTTAACTTGAGGATGGGTCCAAGTGACCCTTTGGCAATCAGGCCGAGGACCTGAGAGCACAGAGTACGTTTAGGTCTCCATCCCGATTCGGGCACTACTTTAAACTTTTTAGAAAATAAATAGATCCAACTTATTGCACCAGGTTACCTGATGATGATCTTCTATGGGGGGTTTATGGAGTGGGAACTCTGGCAGGAAGGCAGAAATGAGGGCTGGGGGATTCGTGCCCGTGTCTGACGTCTCCCCGCCCTCCTCTGGGGGACACAGGAGGCTGGAGATGGCCATTTGGACGTCCACTCCCGCTGACTGAGAGAATATTGCTGAGTGTCCGAGTCTGTGAGGCATGGAGATTCCAGGAGTTGAGAGAAATCCCTGACTGAGTCGACGATGAGCAGCTCTTCCTCCTCTCTACAGGTTAAGGGTGATAGAACACTTAAAATCAGGCAGCCAAATATTGATAGCCCACCACACTTATGTGGTCAATATTCTATTTACCTCAATAACAGCGGCTTATTCACTTAGACTGACTGAATATGGCAATTTACAATCAGAAAGAAAAATAATAAACTCAACATCTGGAGTCTAAGATGCCTATGTCAGATTTTTAAAAAGCCTTTCTTACAAACATGTGCCTTGGATTATGATGGTTTAGGATCAATTCACCACCCAAACGTCCAATGAGCTTCATGCTGCGGGTCAGGGCGGAGGTCGACATGCATTTATCTGATCAATAGCTCTTTTTTGAACTGTTTTCATCACAGGAAACAGACGCGGGGCAGAAAAAAAGGACCAGTAACCCTCAGACGCGTCTTTCTCCACCACCAAATCTGCGTCAAAGCGCTCCCTTTGACATTTAAAGCGTCTCCAAACAACCCGCGACTCACTGCTCTGGTCACCTGAATGCGTTTACTGATGTCCACTCCCATCGCAGCCTCCGGAATGAGACGGTTTCACAGTCAAAACAGAAACAAAACACCCCCCAAAAAACGTCCCGGGCTGCCTCTTTTGCGCGCGTCCTCCTCTTCCTCAGCATGCGCGCGTCTGCTGCTGCTGACGGGAGCCTCCAGCCTGGAAGTCCGGAGCCATTCCGCTCCAGTTCCCGGCTGTCAGATCTTGAATCGATCACCCCACCGTTCACCCACAAACCACAGACACACACATACAGATATAGAGGCGTCAACACTTTTATTGACAGATAAACAAACAAAAAAAAAGAAGCCACGGAGCCGATAGAAATGTGGAGACAGCTGCTGAAATGTGGACATAGAACCTAAAGGTCAGTGAGTGAGAGGCACCAACTGAAAAACAACCGCGTGCTTACAAAAATATCAAAACAAATTTTGCATAAAAAGTGCTTTAGTGTTCAAATGACAAAACACACATTAGCTGCAACGTGTTTGCTTCGCCCACAACAAGTCTGACGTTTTCCCAACAGCTGGACATCCAGCTGCTGCTCTTCATCAATTGCACTGAGGTGAGGTACAGTAAAACCACACTACATGGAAAACCTGTGCGTTTAAAGGCCTTCCTGTCAGAGCGACAGTCATTCAGCCCAAAACACACGTCCTGAAATGCTAAAACATACTCTGATATAATCATCTGTAGCATTTATTCTCATTTTTACATCTTTTTTTTTATTAGTAAAGGTGCGTTCAGTTTTTTTTTTCTTTTCTGTGACTTGATATTCAGTGTGTTCCTGATCCAGCAGGAAGAAACGCTCTCATTCGTTGGCCAGCAGAAGCAGAGGAAGGCCGAGCAGTGAGTGTGAAGCCCCCCCCGATCCCCTCCCGCTACATTCAATACTTATTTCTGGAGTTGCTAAGTAGATGAAACGCTGAGCGAAGTTTTAATGGCACAAAAAGAAAACAAAACTAACGGATTTGGTCATAATGGCGCCCCGCTGATCCTGGAGATGTTTGGGTTCCCTGAATGGAGTCGGGTCAGAGACACAGCAGGAGAAACTTTCAGAAAACGACCTCAGCAGGACCAGAAGATACAGCAGAGGCTCCCAAAGCGAGGCGGCCCGCCTCCTCTCTTTGTCTACAGTGGTTCACACAGCTGGAGCTGGGTCTTCCTCACTTGCGGCGGCTGAAGATGCTCTTCTTGCTGGAGCTCTTGTCCGCCGAGCTGAGGCCGATGAGGAGGCGGGCCTTCTCGTCCTCCTCCTGCTGCTGCAGGCTGTTGTCCGACTTCCCGTCGGACACTTTGCCCCGCACGTCTGAGCCCGAAGCCGGCTTCAGACGCAGCTTCTCCTTAATCATCTGAGCCACAGGGAGCAGAGGCCAGTTTAGTAAGGAGAAATATTTAATTTTTCCTCCTCCTGCCTGCACATTCAAAGCCCAGGGAGCGCAGAACTCACACAAAACTGACATGCAAAGGGCAAAAAAACAATCATTTTCTCATTCTCATTTTAAAATTCAGTCTGATAACTAGAGGAATTAAAGTTGTGTACCTGAGCTACGAGTGCTTTACGACTGTCCCTTTTCACGGCCATGGCAAAGTCGAGCCAGGTCCACGTATTGTTATGGTACTCTAAACAAGGCAGGACCAGGTTCAGGTCTTTCCAGTCCACACTGCTCTTTTCTCCCTGAGGAGACAAAATACATCCATAAAAAAGTTATTCAGTAACATTTTTCTCTCATTTACTGACCCCCTGAGTTAAAAGAATCATCGACTCAGGAGCCTCCTAACACCTAGGTAGTCCAATGTTCTCTTTTTTTTTACTTCACCAACCCATGTTGTGAGGACTTAGCTTTGTTTTTTGGAAACAATAGCTACTGAAAAGCAGAAATGGGAAACGGAAAACTTATCAGCTGTGCTGCATGTGAGTGATGCAATGCAGAGTCAGTGATTCACAGAGCTGTACCCACACAGAAGCTAAAAAGGTTTTGGGAGGAAAAAGCTTAGTCCACAAAAGTGAGTGAAGTGATTACACGTAAGCTGACAAGTGTGTCGAGCGGAAAGGACAAAAAAAGAAAAAAAAAAAAAAGAAAAAAGTTCTGTGACAGTCGCTAAAAAACGGTTTGCATTTGCCCGCTGAAAGAAGGACCAGCGGACAGGAGCAGGAGCCCACCTTGTAGCTGACACATAAAGGCACTTGGGGAATCTTGATGTAGATGAAGGAGTTATTCATAGCAGCTCGCTCCTTCATCTTATCGATGTCATCAACGGGATGCTGAGGGAGGAAGCGACACCAGACTCATTACTTTCCATTACGCTGAGTTTCCTGAATATGTGAGGTGACCCAGAAGGTCTGCCCACCTCTGGAGCTTTCCTGAATGACCTCCTGACCCCGGCGCTGCGGTTCAGACCCTGGGCGACGCTTTTGCTGGGGCCCATGGCCCCCATGGTGTCCTCTGACAGGGGCCGGGGCTTCACGGGGATACCTGTGACAGAGAAAAAACACTCATCAGCACCTCCGGCCTCCCAGTGACTCGGCAGGCTGCACCCTATACTCCCCGGGAGGCTCTGCCACACATTTATCAAGGTCACATCTCACAGGGATAGTATGACACACGTGTAATTCAACTCCACACATCTAGCAGAGAAAATGGAAACTATTGATTCTTTTCTGGGGAAAAAAAAAAAAAAAAAGAAGCAGAATGTTGATCACACGGAGAGATTAGAGAGGAAGGGCTACTCATCTCACTGCTTTTACTTTTACAAAAACATACCGGTGGTAACCAATCGAAACTTGTCTTCCTCATCGGCCACTTCCTCCTCCTCAACATTTCTTCCCGGGAAGAAAAATCCCATCATTCGCTTGAAGAACTGGTACATGAGCTGGATGGTGAGAGGCACCACGTTCACCTGATGATGCAAGAGGATTTTTAATTAAAAATGACAAAACAAAAACAGTGTCCAATGTATTTCACAAGCTGCCTGCTGCATGTCTCACCTCAAAGTGCTCCTTCACGGAGATCCCGCCCACAGGGGGGCGCACTTTGCTGAAGATGCGGAGAGCAAACTGCCGGCCGGACTGGCAGTTGCTCTGAGGACGAAGCACCACCTGGAAAAGAAGCCAGACCTGAGTAACACCCCGGTTAGCGGCGCGGCATGTCACTGATGAGGTGAGCACGGCAGGGACGACGCCATGAGGTTACGTGGACGCTAAAGGCTCGTGGGCCACACGTGCATGGATGCCTCCTCGAGCCTGCATGCAACACAGATTATGAAGCTCCGAAGAGCCGCTGCGTGACCCCATCGGGGCAGACAAGATGGAGTCAACAGAGACATCACAGTCCTGCCACTGTCAGCAGAGTACATACCCTCAAGCGCTGCATAGAGGAAACCAAGCATAAAGAAGTTAAGCACCGCTTTCTAAACGATGTTCCAAAAGGATGCCATTAGTTTTTAGAGATGCATTGTTAAAAACCCTTGATAGTGCAAAATGCTTTCCAAAATGAGAAAAAAATAAGAGCTAATTAAAAGAACTCAATGGGTCTTTTCCGACCGGTTTATTTACCTTGTAAGCTGCGTTTGGCAGCAGGTTGTTCATTGTGAACCACCCCAGTTCCAAAAGATGCTCTGCTGTGTCATCCGACTTGTTCAGCTGCAGGAAAAAGTGGACATCACTTAACCAGGCGGGAGTGAGAGGTGTTGTACTTTCAAATGGAGAGTATCACACAGATAATGTCATTCTGAAGTAGTTCTTAAAAGTGGATTTTGAGATTATCGGGCTACAGAAAGAGGTAGCAGGGATTGTCTTTGAAGTCCGGGTGATTAACTAGTCCAGGCCCACCTTACTGTACATGAATCTCTGCAGCTCCAGCTCAGCAATGCCGAGCTGGCCATCCTCTTCCGTCAAGCACCAGCGGGCCTGGGCAAAGTAGATCTCCGTCCTCCTCACCACGCTCACGTCCTCCGGGGGCTTACGCAGCTCCAGCTTGTTTGCCCGCTGCAGCTGGAAATCTTTAAAACACCTGGACAAGAAAGGGGTTTCTCCTTTTTTATTAGAGAGCCTTGTGCTGTAACTACTGGATGTCCATTATGGCCGACATGAGACCTGATGAGGATGTTGAGCTCCTCGCTCTTCATCTGCATGTCGTTTTTTTCCTGGTTCAGCTGGTTCTGCAATCGGAAGTTGACCTCAATCAGATCGTCTCCGCTTAGTTCCTCCGTCTGAGCCTGTTAGACATCACAGAGAGACATATCGAGATTGCATTTATTCAATTACATCTATGAAAAATTACAATGACGCCACAAGTGGACGGATGCAAAACATCAGCACAAATGTGGTGGTTTGTGAACAGCTTCCGTCACCTCCAGATATGAAGCAGGTCCAAAAGAGTGTCTATAGTATATGATTGTGATGTCAAAAGGCCTATAACAAAGTCTCTTAAGTCTGTCCTAATTCTGCATTTGCTGGAATATATTTGAACAAATATGGTAAGTGGCAGTAAAACGAGAGGACTAGGTGTTAATTTCCTTCGGTAATCAGAGTTAACGGCAGCGTGCGGCTCACCCTGATGTTGGAGTAGATCTGCTTCTCCAGGCGTCTGATCTGGGCGAGGTGCTGCCTGACTGCCTCCTGCAGGTGCAGGATGCTGCTGCGCTGCTCCTCTGGGTTGCTGGAAATTTCCAACTGGAATCGCACCCGCTGCTTTTTCTCACTATGCTCCTGCACACAGCAGATAAAAACGCAGTGGGGGGGGCAGAGATTAAACTCATGTGGATGATTGCAGTCTTCTGTAATGGGCGGCCCTTGGGGAGCCGTTGGCGGTGACTACCTTGCGTCTGGGCTCCACATGTAATAACAGGTTGTTGACAATGTCCAGAATCATGGCGTACTGAACGGGGTTAGTGGATATCTCAAGGTCATGGTGAATAAGTGTAAAAGTGTCCACGGCTCCTTAAGAAAAAAAAAGAAAAAAACAAACACTTTAGCAAATAGCTATGATAACCCCCGGCTCTGTCCCATCGAACCTCTTGAGTATGATTTCTTTGCGTTTCCGGCGATGGGACATACCCGCCTGTTTTTTCAGCAGGTCCTCTTTCTCGTGGTTGTTCCTCAGCTCTGGGGGTTTGATCTGAGTGGCCAGCTCGGGGTTGATGTCGTGACTGTAGCTGATGTAGTGCATCCGGCAGCTGCAGCGCGAGATGATGCGCTGAACCTGCTGAGACTCATTCACCTGGGCCGGCTGGTTCCAGTCTGGAGTTATCAGACGGAGAGTACAACTTCATACTTCATTCACACTCACCATAACACACTGCTTTTCTCTCTGGACAGTGCACACAATGCTATGAGGGCTGCTGTGGGTTATGTCCTCCTGGATATTTTCGTTTCAAAAGCGCATGACTAATTTTGTCTTTTAAAAAATATGCTGAGAAAAAATCTAGCGAGAACATTTCCAAACCTGTTGTGGTGCTGACCATCCCTCCTACCGCCTGGCCACTCTCCATCAGCTCCAGCACAGAGTCCAGGTTACGCTGCCTGTGCTCCTCTATGTTTTTTACCTAAACAGAACAACAAAACGAAACTACCAGAAATGGTCTGCTGCTGCTTTTTGCTTTATTTTCTTTGAGACCCGTTGTTAACGGATACCCAGAAATGACCGGCGGCAGCTAAACGTACCTCCAGCCACAGCTGCCGGTCCTCTTGCTCGGAGGGGCTGAGCTCCATGGTGGCAAAGTACTGCATGCCGTCCAGCAGACAGGTCCAGGTGGTCTTCTGCTTCAGGGTGTCGTTGTACCAGGCGGGGTGGTGCTCACACTGCAGCAGCTGAGCCTTTGCCGCCGACACCAGCACACAGCCGGCCGTTTCTGTGCCCCGCAGCATCATCTGGGTGGAGAAAAAACAGGAGGATTAAAACCCAGAGTACGCCATTCACCCGCCGTCGTTGCAGCTCAAGTGAGTTAACGCGCAGAGTTGAAGACGATGCTTCATTAACACTGGCTGCGGGATTCAATCCGAGTTTACTTTGCGGCCGGTTAAATCTGTGTCACCTGGCAGTTGACCAGCTCGATGAACCAGTTGCGGTTGTACACGTCGTCGGTCTGGCAGGCGGCGATGCCACACAGCTGGTCACTCACGCCCGACTCCTCCTCCGAAAACACCACAAACTTGTCGGTTTCCTCGATCAGTTTCTGCAGCATCGACGTCCCTGGAAAACAATATGAAGGAAAAAAAACGACAATGAAGTGGATATTAGATCTCAGATGTTGTTTTTCCCTCCCGGGAACGCTCACCTTCATTGTGACCCTTTTCCGCTCGGTTGACCACGGGCACGACTGGTGTGGTGGGAGCGGTCGTGGGAGAGTAGTTGGACGGAGAACGTTTGAGTTTCTTAGCCTGCAGCTGCGTGTCGATCCTCAGACCCTTCAGTGCTTCAGTGGAAAGATTCCTCTTCAGGACAGATGCCTTTTTATAACCGTCATACAGCCCGAAGGCTATGTTTCTGTTCGTGGTTGTCCAGGAAGCGCGAAGGTCCACCAGGCGCAGTTTGTGAGTGTAAGAAGCATTTGTTTCATCCTTTGTGTTCACCTCCTGAAAAAAAAAAACACATAGAAAAATATCTTTACCCTGGTACTCTAAAAAAAAACGAAGATATCGGTGAATAGATCTGAAGATATCCGAGTTCGGCCTCGGGCCTTTACCTCCTCCACGCGGATGCTCTGTCGCTGGTAGCTAAGGGATGAGAGGCTGAGCAGATGGGTCTTCTTCACTTGAGCGTTCATCTGGTGGTCGGCTGTCTCATCCCAGGTGGAGGCCATGAGGTGAACTGTCACCTGAGAAAGTTCGCTCACCATCTGAGTCACATTCCATTCAGAAATCAGCCTCCTCATCACAGTGCCAGCTGAAAAGAACGTACATTTGAGAATGGGATCCTGGGAAAGCAAATAGGAATAAGCTGCCAATAGATCACATGAATTCTACCCTGTGGAATTAGTCTCTGTGCCCCGCGAGTGAAGACGTGGCCTTTGTTGCATTCCACTTGGATCCCTCTCTGCTGTGCAAAGGAGGCCCAGTAATGCACCTTTGGATACATCACATAGCATTATTTAAAAAAAATCAAGTGTATGCCACATGGCTACAAAATCCAATCCCAAATAATAAAAAATAACATGCAGCTTTTAAAGGACAAGGATTGCTTTCAAGAAGGGAAGGCTTACTTGTAATTGTGGGAAAGCAGCTGTGTATGACATCTGTTTGTAGTGCTGGCCAAGCTTCTTGCGCACGGGCCTGAGGCTGTGGAAGAGCTTCCCTCTGCAGATCGGTCGAGAAACGCCCGTCCAAGTGGCCCAGAAGTTCTGCATCCAGCGCAGAGTGCTGCTGTACAGCAGGATTCTGGGCTGGGAAGCTTCTGCAGGTGCAAAGAGAAACGGGTCAAAAGCAAAACAGGTACATGTATCATGTATTTTCTTTTTTTTTTTTTTGTTAGATCTAAAAAGTGTTGCACAAACCAGTGCCACAATGCTGGTTAAGATCCATGGTGATGGAGAGGTTGAGATTCTCTGAGCGAAAGGCTCTGTAAGAGTCATGAGGCTGTCCTGAGGTCACATCCCCGATGTTCTCTGCACAGCAGAGCATCACAGCATGATGGTCATGGGGGTTGCCATGACAGAGCCATTGGAGGTCAAGGGTCATGCACAAGTTGGGAAGGTGTAGAAAACAGATATCATCATACCTATTATGGAAAAAAAAGAGACTTTCATTATGAAATGGCTGTCTACTAACAAGCTTTTTATGTCCAAGAACCAGTTCTTACTTTGATGCAGTCCTGACATTTACATCCAAATCCCCCTTAAAGACAAATTGCCCCGGGTTCCAGTCAAAGTTTAGCTTGTTCCATTCCCAGTGCAGGTTTTCTGTAGTGTTGTAGGGGTCCTACAAGACAGCAGAGTCAAGTAAACTAAGGGATCTTTAAAAAAATAAAAAATGTATGTATAACCCATTAATCAGTAAACACATGGCTATGAAAAACGGATCAAATGGGTTGAGCCTCTTTTTTCCTGTTGTTGTTTGGAACACTCTCACACACACAAACTTGGTAGTAAATTCTCCCTAACAGATCTAGTATATGAGGCATTTATGGCGGCAAAGTTTGCCAGGTGCATAAAGTTGTACCTCCGTGGCTAGCTGATGAAGATTTGCATGATCAATGTTCATGACCCAGCGTCCGTGCAGAAGAAGACGACTTTTATCCCACCAGGCCAGAGAGGGAGAGGGATCAGCTGTAGGTTTGGTCAACAGGTCAACTGACTGCCCAATCAGAGTCCAGGCAGGGTCCCAACAAGGCCCCCACACGATGGTGTACAGAGAGATGTTGGCTGCAAAAGAGCAGTTTCTTTATTAAAATGGATATTTAAGCTGCTGCTGCTTTAATCATAACCACAATAAAAAAAACTGATTTCTAATATCCAAAATACTAACAATGTTGTGGAAGACAAAAATGAAAGGACCGCAGCTTACATTTAAAATCATAGTAGAACTTGAGCGGTGGCATATTTCTGTGGACCGTCACGTCTCCCCACGGTGCACCGAGTGGGACAGTTGCTTTGCGATGAGCTCTTGACTGGCCATCCTGCTCCGTCCCAATCAGACGCCCCGACAGATCCCAGTCTCGGATCTCAAAGAGGTACCGAGGGTAGTCACGAATTCTCACTGGAACACGGCAAAGGTGGTTAAAAAGCTAAATAATGAATCGCTTTTAAAAAAAATCTGCTAAGTTTGACTTATATGGACTCTGATCATTTTCAGGTCAGTCTGGCTTACCAAGGAACGCAGACAGTTTGAATTTGACCGCCCGACACCACTGGACTACCAGGGGGAGTCCATCTCTGGGGAAAGGACTGACGCCATCGATGTCTCTCAGCTGCTCTCTTACTCTCTCTGGCCCATGCAGAGATTGATCAGCCAAAGCCACAAGCTCCAGGTCCGACACAGTCCAGGTAATCAGAGACTTCCTCATGGGCGTGTTTGCATAGAGGCGCCGTGAGCGCTGGATGTAGATCTCGATGTGCTTTTTCTCCAGCGAACTGTAAAGCTCCTCGATCTTTCTGGCCGGCAGGAGTTCGCCGTGCTGCTTTCGGAGGTCTGCCACCTTCTTATCCAGAAGCTGCAGGCGCTTGGCGCTTTCTTTGCTCTCGTCCTTCATCAGCTCGTAGTTGTCTCTCAGCTTGATCTCAAAGATGTCATCCAGGAAGACAAATGAAAACTGGCTGATTTTGAAAACGAGGTCAGGGGGCAGATGCTGGGCGGCAGAAGCCTTGCTGGGAGAATGGAGGGTTTTCAACCACTTCTGCACACTAATGGCCATGTCGAAAGTGCTTGAGAAGTTGTACTGGTAGGGGAACTCGACGGCCACGGAGGGGCAGGTGAAGACCCAGACGCGGTTGTGAGGGGTGGTGAGGAAGGGGAAGGTGTCCCTGTGCAGCTGCATCTCGGTCAGTTCGGCGTGCATCTCAACATCCAATTCGCTAAAGGAGACGATGTTGTTGCCGTCAAAGTTGAAGACAAGCAAAGGGGAGCGCATGTGCATGGAGCCCGAGTGCTTCGCCACCGTGAGGGCGTCCGTGTGCAGCAGGATGTAGTTCTCCTCGCTGACGTGGGCTGTTAAACGGGCGGAGCCCATTTCGACGCGGACCGACAGCCCTCTGCTCTGAGCGGAGGCGGGCTCGCTGTCCAAAGAGGGGAGCGGCTCATCTTCTGCCGTCTCCTCACAAAGCATGAGCCAACAAGCCTGAGCCTCCGTCAGGTGCTGATATAGGACCATGTGGTCAGAAGGAGTCCACTCTACAGTTAGCTGCTCTTCACACTCAACCTGTTAAATGCCCAGACAAAGCAGAAATATCAAAACAACACAGTTTAAAAAAGTATTTCAGAATTTCAGAAATAAACTAAAGAGAGGATTACCTGTAAGGTGTGAGTGGTGATATGGTACCAGACGGTGAGCGTGGTGAGTTGGATTGCGGGGTTCAGGGTTTGGGAAGCAGGGCAACATATTTCCATGCTCTCTGTGACAGTTTTAAGTGCAGACAAGCTCACCCCCTGGAAGAACACTCTGGAGCTCTCAGCAGAGCTCAGAACCCTGACAGTGTCCATCCTCAGAGACACAGCTCCTGCCGAGAGCAAGAAAAAAGTGTAAGACATTAAACTGACCTCTGGTCAGACGATTATGTAAAATCTTCTTACCTGCCACGTTAGAGACGGTGAAAACATTCACATCCTCCAGAGAGCAGTCCATTTTAAAGAGCAGGTGTTGCTGTGTGGGGGGGTTCAGCTGGACAGGTTTGTCACTGGAGGGAGACGCCGCGGTTCCATCTGACAGCTGTAGCTCTCTCTCACGGGGAACGTTCATGAGGGACAGCAGGCGGGACAGACACAGAGCACAGGTCTCTGAAAGCTCCACTTGAAGGCCCTTCAGACTGGACTCCATGTTCAGACTTGGACACTGGCTCCACCCTGCATGTGGCCTGTTCAAACTCCCCTGGAGGAAGAGCACAGTATACAATAAGAACAATCAATTCAACAATCAGAAATTTGTCTAATTTAAAAGAAATCTGTTTTTTTTTTAAGAGAAATTATTCGCATTGTGATTGGAAAAAAAAACAGCATTTGTGAAAGATAACTAAGTGGAATAATATCAGATAGTGAAAATAAAAGCTGGTGCTTTCTCACGGTTTTTGTTTAAAAAAAAATCCATTTACAGGACCAGCCAATGAGACACTTTTCTGTTTTAGTGGGTTTTTCAATCCATCAGTAAATGTGTAGCCCTATAAGAAAAACAACTGCATGCACAATAAAAAAATTCTAAAGAAATCTGAGGTCTTACCTGAAGACTCAGGGAGTCTAAAATTAGTGCTTCACCCCACACGTGTTTACCAGGAGGGTGGGGGGCCTGTTGGATATGAGACCCCTGTCCAACTCTCCACCAGAAGCTGTCCAGGGACAGCGAGGCCCGCTGATGCAAGCTCTGGGAATCTGAGCTCTCCCCGTCCACTTTGAGGTCACGCAGATGCTGTAATTCTGCAGACATTAGGATGCAGTCATGTTACAAAATTCTTTGAGGTGAAAGATCCAAACTTGCTCTAGTGCTGAGGTCTGTGTCAAAAGCGGGATAAGTCACTGTGTGCCATTTGAATGGCATCCAGCGAAAAAGACTTAATGTGGTTTGTAAGGTAAAAAAGTGTTTGGCCTGCTGCTGCTGCTTAGAGAACAAAAATAAAAAAATGAATGCACGTTGTAAGGTAAGAAGAAGCGTACTACAGCTCATCATGCAACTCACCAATAAAGTGGTACAACTTTCGTCTGCCATGTTTTGCGTACCTGCATTAGCAGAGATGAAGCCCAGAGCAAAAGGTGTGGTGTCCCCCAGCTGAACGGACACGTTGATGTTGGACACAGAGGATGTGATCATCACTGGAGCTTCCAGGTGAGGGAGGCGCCTGAGGAAAAGGAGGATGGGCAAATAATCTAAGGGACTACACAACAAAATAAGGCCATGGCAAAAAAAACAACAAAAAAACAAAAACACAAAGTGAATGACGCACAGACATGGGTAAGGAAGAGAAGGTAGGACAAGGTGTTAGCAGATTATTTTCACCACACTGGCTTATTGTTAAAGGAACTCTCATGAATATTAGTTACACTGGCTGATTAGATTTCTTTTGGGGTATTTAGATGCAGATTCTGTGATGCAACAGTGATTCAGTTTGGCTGAGTTTTCACTTTATATCGTTTTATTTTCAAGACACAAACAGCCAAGAGGAGTGTTAAATTCATCAAAGAAAAACCACAAACGAGATTTGGTACAATCACACTCCGTCTTTAAGATAGAAAAACATAGAAGACTAGAGTCACTTCCCTTATTGCCTTTCAAATGAGAGCAAAAACCACAAGCAGCCTCGTGTCAGCATCATCTTTCCTGTCAGCTCATAACAACATTATGATTCTCAAAAATGTTGAGCTGAGCCATTTTACATCATTGTTTAGATAGAACTTGTTGTTTAAGATATGTGACCAGTTTAAATGACTTGGTAAAATATCAAATATTTGGGTGGTTTTAGTATGGAAAAGTAATTAGTTTATATTAGAGTCTAAGTGATTTTAACCACGTTTCCGGTTAAGTAAAGTAAATATCTCTCAGTGAGAAAACTTGTTAGAGCGGGTTTTAACAACACTGCACACAAAAGCTGTAACGCTTTGTGTCTATACTTGCCTTTTCCTGTGAGCTTCCTTCCTGTGGAGGAGCTGTTCCCATGGAAACAGATTCAACCAATGGGAAAACTCCTGGTGACGGTAGTGGATGATACAAGTGTTGACTACGAATGATCCCGAGATGTCCATCGATGTTACCTTCATGGACCAAAAAAGAGAACTAAGTAAACAAGGATGAAACAACTCAGACATAAGCTGGGTTCATAAGAAAGGACTTCAGCCCAAATTTTGACTTGCACATAAATTCTGGATGCCACGATAAAGGCAAACTGGCCTTAAATATGCAACTGCCAGAATGTGGCCAAACACACATTTTGGAAGAGGTGCAATGAGCAGAGCTGTAAAAGGAATTTCAGCAATGAGAGTGAACGATAAAGGTTGAGAAATCAACAGCCAGCATGACAAAGCACCAACAGAAAACCGAGTGTAAAAACACCTCGAACCAAAGGACTTTGATCAGGCTGTAAGAGTATAAACCGTCGGCCTCACCTGCAACACCGTTTTCAGAGTGTTCACACAAAGGATCCTCTGCCGGCTCTGAGAGAGGAGGAGGCCATCTGCACATTTAAACAAAGAAGAGAAGATTTGATTCACAGCTTTTTCTTTCTTTTTTTTTTTTAAACCACCATCACTGCTCTCCATCTGGTGATGGGCAGTAAACTCACCCTCGAGAATCAGCTCCAGGCTGCTCTGAGGGAAGGTCAGCTCAGGAGTGAAGCTTTTCAGAGGAAGCTGCTCACTGTCACGTCCGTAGCCGATCTTCAAAGACTTCAGAGTCCAGTTCAGGTGTCTGTTCAATCAAATGTGGGATATTCTACTCATGCTATTCACATGAGCTCACCCATGAGTTTTAAACAAGAATGCCACATAAAAGATTCAAATCTCCACAATGCAGACAGCAGAAACATGTCTGCTGAACAAAGGGGGGTCAAAACTAATTCACAGGAATAATTTGTTGGAGTACGCAAGCAAAAAACTGCAAGATGTGGACTCACCGTTTCTGGCTGTGCATGGACAGAGTTACATTTGTATTATCAAACTCCACGTTGACTTTATGAGGAAGCAGCTGATGGAACTGTTCAACGGCCTCAGTCTGGATAAATTCAATGTTTTCACACTCTGAAAAGAATGAGCAGAAGTTTAATTCAGAAGTTTTAAAGTTATGATTCAGATCAAGTAAAAAACTGTTAAATGTGTATATTATCAGTTCAACTAATTACATTCTTATACGTCTATCAACTACTCTCAGAATTGTACCTAAAGAAAACCGAGCACTCACACTGCCTGCACTGAGCTAATCAAGAACTTTTCCTTAATAACCAAATGCCCTTTGGTTTCTCATTCAGTCGGTTGGTGTTCTAAAGCAGTAACGGCCAGAAAATGTTTCACTTTAATTTGTTGGCTGCAAATATTAAGTATGAAAGCTGACTTTGACTGAGCAGATCAAAGCTTGATGGTCACAGAGGTCAGCAGAGCCCGGCGATACGATCTCATCTGCGTTTTCTAACCGTTTCAAAGGGCAGCTAAAAATAACCCAGATGATGGAGAGCATCCAGCCGGTTCAGGATAAACTAAATCGGCCGGTGGAAAACAACTACTATTGCAATGGAAAATGCTGGCAGTCAAGCCTTCTTTGATCGTTTATTTTTTTCCACATTATTGACACTTAGGTGACATTTTTACAGTGTTTAACAAAAAAAAACAAAAAAACATCTGAATGTGGTTCTGCTTTTCATACAGTTTGAGAAAACACAAAGAGTGCTTCCCCAGCAAATCACTATTTGGCTCTCACTTTAAAATGTACAATTATCTCAACACTTGTATTCTAGTTGGATTCCTGATTTCAGGAAAAGTAAAAAGGAAGGTGAAAGTAAAATCACATTCATTTTTATGAGAGGTTAAAGCCTAAGGCTGCCACGTCTTCACTCATGTGTTGTATCCTTTTGATTCTCGTTTTCTTTTAAAGAGTTTAAACTCGGCTCACCAGACACATCGTGATCCTGCTTCTTTGGGGAGGCGGGTGGCAGCAGGAGCTGGCTGAGGAACAGCCCCTCGTGCAGCTCTGCCGAAAGCGCCCTCACACTCAGGGACAGGAAACCTGGCTTCATCTCCAGAAGACTGACTTCCCCAGTCAGCAGCAGGCTCAGAGCCAGTTCTGCCAGACATATGTCCTGAAAGAAAAAGCCCCTCGGTCACAGACATCCGCTTTCAAGTTTCCACGTCGGTTATCGTAAAACAACTCACCAACTGGCTGCTTTTGAGCACTTTACTGCTTAGCTGCCCCACCGAGAAATTCCAGGCCAACCTGGCGGAGATAAGCAGCGCGCACGTCGGACCGTTTCTGTTACACTAGTGTTTGGGAAGAAAACCCAACCGGCAAGAGAGAACCTACCTTTTGCTCTGGTGGTCAAGTAACAAGGTGATACCTGTGACGGTCATGTGCCACAGGGATTCGGACAGAGCCAGGTTTAGCACCATCACGTTGACCGAGCTGACGTGGAAGGACAGCAGCTGCGGGCAGAGGACGGACAGAGAGTGAGAAGCTGCCAGCAAATCAGCGTAGACGCGCTCGCCTCGACCCCGTCCGTCCGTCCGTACTTGTGACAGAAAGTGTAGCGTTGTGGGGCTGACTGAAATCTTCCATGACTTCTTCCCTTGGCTCTTCTTTATCAGAGGTCCCGGCGGCGCTTGCAAGTCAAACCTAATTCGGGTGTCCCCGACACACAATGCCAGGTACCGTCTGAAAAACAAGCCAGGCTCGAAGTCAAGGACTTTTTTTTTTCTGTTAACTCTTTGCTGAAAAGCTCGTCTGACAAAATTGAACAACTCACGGTAAATCTTGATTCAGAAGTTTACTTGAAATCCAGATCCTGTCGATTTCCTGGAGTAGCAAAAAGTTATGGCATGGTAAATCAAAAAAAGATCACCCTATACAGAAATGTGCAACCTCAGCGTGGCCATTACTGAAACAGTCCTTGGAAGCAGGAACGTCCATGGCATAAATGTCATGTAAACAGAGGCTGTCTTACCAGAGTATGGTGGGGGTGAAACTGGATACTAACTCCATGGACAGAAAACAGCCCTACTGATTTGATCTTTAGATCGGCGTTCAGCGCAGTCTGAAATAGTCGGACAGCCAGGCTGCAGATGAGCCACCTTGAAGCAAAAAAGACAAAAACAAGAGTGGATAGGCTGAACCCAGTGTTAGGTTATTAAAATAAAGGCTTTGAGGAATCTTCATCACAAGGATGACAAGTATTAAAGGTCTCTTTTATAATCTCTGCTTAATGTAAAGCAGGCATATCTTACCTGAAAATGATGCATACGGACACAATACCCAGCAGAAGGATGAAAACGAAGGATATGAGTACGAGAGACATTGTGTCCCAAGTTGTTCACACCCAGATCTCTGACATGGATCTGGCTTCTCCTTCTCTGCTATCAGCTGCTGTCAAAGAGGAAGAGATTCAACACATCACAATCAATTTCTCTTCCAGTCGCTTCGCTCTCTGACTGGCTGTGATCAGTAAAATTCAAATCATCTTCCGCCTTTTAAACAAATAAAGAAACATTTGAGATCCGAAAAAAAGAGGCTTTCACTCGCATGCTAACGTTCAGTTAGCCTCGCAGTGCTAACGCGGCTAAGTAACTACAAAGTAGTTACAGAGTGAATTAGCACGTAGCTGAACTTTAACAGCTAACCAACAGTGTGCGAAAGCGTAACCTGGAAATACTCTTCGTGCACTTGTCACCGAGCAGAAAACAGACGCTTTTGAGGTGTAGCCCCAAAGGAGCAACGAAAAAAAAAAAAAAAAGTTAATTTACAGCCGCGTCACCGAACGAAATCTGTGGTGAATCTGTGCTAGCAACTTAGCATGCTAACACTCCAGCCAAACTAGCACAGCCGCGACAACGTTCTCCAAATCCTCTCTCAGAAAAAACGACTGTCCGTGTCGGTGGTCTGCGCTGGTCTCTCTCCAGAGGGAAGTCTCGCCCACCCACCCTGGCATTCAGAGCCCCGGGTCGCTGCTCCGCTCCATACCGCCGCCGCTAGCCGCTCCACCTGACAGTTGACCCGGTAAACACCGAGCTCGGGTCCGCCCCGTTAGACCCGGCAGGTCGTCCAGGAGAAGGTCAGGACACGAGTCCACTCTCAGCCAGGTGTCCGCACCTTCAGCGGTTCAGTTCCAATTCATCCATATCGCAAAAATAAGACGCATTGAGACAGTGTTGGGTGAAAGGGAAGTGTTTTTTTTTTTTACTTCAGCCAGATGTTTGACACGAGCAGCACACTGAGCACCACCGGCTGCCACGTCAGGACACGGGTCACTATCTGTGTCCAGACAGGCTCCCCCCAAACCAAAAACACCACTAGCTGTCATTCAACACTGATACAGAGGGTGGAAATGCAAAAACATTGTAGGTCTCAAGTACTTTATAACTGCAAGCAGCTCTGTTTTGGTCATTTTTCAAATCAAAGAGAGTGATCCACTAGCACACACTTTGTGACTTTTTATTCAAGCCCCCGTGTCTTCCTCGGCATGTCATCATCATCTCTGGTGGACAGATTCCAGTCTCAGGCGGCAGCCTTCTGCTTATTGTGCTTGGCAAACCACTCGTCGCTTTTGTCTTCGGCCATGGCCTGAAAACAAGTTAAGAGCTCAGAGCAAAGGCACAGAAACGGACCTGAACATAAACTAGAGGGCAAAGGTTGAAAACATGCTCACCTTATCGAGCAGTTCGCCTCCCCTGGAGTCCACCTCAGAAAGCTGTCGGAAGGCCTCGTCTCCCACAAAGCAGATCTCGTGGCCATCCTAAAAACAAACCTTGGACATGTAACGCCTCCAGCTGGGCTGGTTTCAGACGGTCTGCAGCTCCGTTTCAACGCTCACCGGGTCGGCCAGGATGACCACTTCCACTGTGGCTTTTCCAGGAGTGTCCAGGCTGACCAGAGGAGTGAGGATCGTCTGCTTTTCGCTTTTCATCAAGGCCTCCAGGTTTGGCAGCTAAGACATTTGGATCAAACAGAAAGTCTTTGATGCATCTGCAAAATAAATTTACTAGCTGAAAGTCTTCCAAGAAACCAAACTCACTTGTTCTCGTGGACATGAGAATGCGATTCTTCCAAACGCTGTGCCATGGTCCACTGTCCCTCCAATATGCTGGAGCTGTAGTTTACACTAATCAAATGCAAAATAAAACACATATCAATTACTATCAACATGAAATATGATGCACAGATGGAACCTTAACAGAATAAATACTTTTCTGTTAAAGCATATCCTGAAAAACAAAAAAAACTGATAAAGTTTTAATATCTTTGGCTCACTTGAGAGTCAGCGAATCCCAAAAGCACTGTTTTCTTTTCCTCATTTTTGTCCATCACAGCCATTCCCAAAAGTGTAGCCCAGTAATGAGTGGATCTTTGGAGGTCGGAGACTCCAAGACAAACCTTCTGCACGGGGTCTGGAGAGAAAGGAGATTTTTCTCCTCCAAATGATGCAATAGACATTGCAATAAACCTTTTATTTGGGTTCCTGAATGAGTTACTTTGTCGGTCTGATTAGAGAAATAAAAGACAAACTTCTGAAAAACTAACCAAGTCTGTGGAATTTTTACGTTTACAGAAAGTCATAATTGGTGTTTTTACTTGGCTAATGAATTGAAACAAAGCTTTTTCCATTGGGACCCTGAGTCTTCTGAGTGTGGGACGCTCAGCGTATTATTTTGAAAGTTGACCAAAAAATGTGAATGCAGGGGAAAAGGGATCAAACGGCCGGTGGCATTCACCGTGAGGAGGCTGCTCTTTGTCCACCAGGTAGAAGGGGTATCCCCCTGGAGCCTGGGTCAGGTAGAGAGCCTCTCCCACCTCCGTCATCGGCCATCCCAGTCGTCGGGCGTTGCTCACAGCCTGGCTGGACTGCAGGGTCAGACCCTGAGCAGGGAAACACAGATCCAAATACCCCATTATGGCGGTTTCACAACACCATAAGTGTGTAAAACTGGTCTTTATATCATGTAAAATTCAACTTTCACCCACCAGGAAATCATTGCCAAGTTGATACTCTCCCACTCCATAATTGTAGGTCAGTTCAGCCACGAAATGGTCATCCTCTGGCCCAAAGCCAACCATCGTCTTGCTCCATTTTCCATCGTAGGGACTCAAGGGTCAGAAGATAGAAAGCAGTGGTGTTAGGATGCAGGCATGTTTGTTCCATACTAAGAGCAAAGTTCAGATATGGTGTCATTCTTATCGGGATCTACCCGTTGCATGTAGCTTTGCAGCCTTCCTCAAACTCCTCATGGCGTAACACCTGAAATAAACGGTGGAATATGAGGGAAATAACCGTGGACAGCGACAGAGAATTTGTACAGACATGCAAAGAGAAAGAAAAAGGGGAAGATTTGAGGAACCGCTGTTGTTGTGCAACCCTGAGGCTGCGATAATCCCCCCCCCAAACCCGGCTAACAACCGGCTGCCTCAGTCTCCCCTGTCCGGTGTCCCGCAAACGCATCATCAGTACCTTCATGCCCAGAACATCACGGTAGAAAGTGGCTGTTTTGGCTCGGTCGCCAACTTTGAAAACAAAATGCAAAGCTCTTCTTGAGGCCATGTCAGCTGACGGATGCACGCTGTGCACACGCCTCCGTGCAGGAATCGATTAAGCGTCCTGGGTCGATTTTTCTCACATCTTCTTCTGAGTTTTGGAACAACGAGCATCCTCTGGGTTGCTTTGTCTCCCACTTCTGGCTTTTCCTCGCCTCTACAACTACTCAGCCTCCATAGACCTCTCTGCTGTATTTAACCCAATAACATCCGTTTGATACTTCATGCTTTCATGATATAATTTATTAAACATAATTTTCATATTCTCTTTTGTTGCATTTCAGTTGCCACATTCCACTCCAAATAAGTTTCAGCAACTAAGTAAAAAAACAACAACACACATATATAAAAAAAAATTAAACAATAATATATATATATATATATATATATATATATATGTATATATGGTTTTTATTTTTTCATTTTTTTAATCTCCACAGCTGGCTTGTTTCCATTAATATCACTTTAATCTCTACTGTTCTCACAATGGTTGCATAATTCCTGGTCATCCAGTTTCTGGAAATTGATCAGCAATCAAAACCTGCCTCTCATTTCCCTTCGTCTTTTAAATCTATCCCTTAAGATTCATCGGCTGTGTCAACAGCAACATGAAGGAAAGCTGTTGCCAGTCTCTCCGTGGCATCTGCAATCAGCTACATCCGTTTCCTCACATCTTAAGGAGAGGCCTGGGCTGAAGCAGAGCCAGCTTCTCTGTAATTAGTCCGAGATGAGTGACATGTTCCCGTTGGATTCCCCCGCCTTTTGTGGGGCTGCTGAAAAAAGACTGGGCATTTTCTGTGCATTTCCAAAGTCGCCGGGGACATCTGCTGAAGCTTTTGCTGCATCAGCCACCACCGAGTTTCAGGAATGTGCCCCAAATGGAACATAAATCATATGGACTCTTCTCAAGAAGAACTGGCTTGACTTAATTTGCTCCCCCCCTTTCATGTTGGCATTATTATAATATGATTGTCGTCTGCAATCATTAAAGGGATTATTCAGAAGATCCCTAGGTTACCAAGCAAAATAGTTCAGCTCAAATTCCTGTTTTATGATTGCGAAGACGTTGCACTAAAGCAGAAAATGACAAATTCATTTTTTTTTTAAAAACAAAACATTGAAAATAGTCTCTTTAGATGCAAGTCCATTCTTTCTGCAGCACTACTGAGTACAAACAAAGTAAAGAAGTCACAAAGTCAGGCAGGAAGAGTTATTTGAAGAAATATTAATTTGGTCACACATGATAAGCACACAATTCTAAAAAGAAGTTGTGTAACACATGATGGAAATATATAAAAAAGACATGAAAAAGGAATGATCAAAGACTGAAAAGTCTACTGTTCCAAAAATTATACTCGCACGTGTATGCAAACATGAATCTTTCTTGGGTGGATTATTGAATGGAGAGTATGTTAAAGAACAGGAAAGGCATTTGATTGTTTATGGTCATGCTGTTTGTGGGATGTTGCAGAAAATCCTCACATATTGTTTTCATTCATATTTTGAAAAAAATCACAACTTTTTGCAGTTTGGCTCTCAGCTCATTTGACGTTCATTCTGAAGTATTATGTACAGCTCTGATGAATTCTGCCACGTGAATAAATTCGACTTACGTCCACTATTTGGCATGTAGTCAGTAATTACGGACACATTTGGTGCACATGCTTTTCCAGACAGTTAGACATCGTGTTTCTCTTTGAGGTGCAGCGGCAGCTAGCCGACAGCTGGCGGCGGTAACGAGGCGCGCGCGGGTTGCTACGACCTCCTCACACACCAACGAAGAAGAAACCGGGCGAAATGGCAGCGCTCGTGAGAGGCGTGTTACGCCTGGTTGCCATGGAGCAAAGCGGCGTTTTATCAAAGCGGATGGGCTTGGTCGTGGAGTCCAAACGGTATGTCCGCGGACTGAGGCGGAAACCCGTCCAAGTGTTGTTTCCCGAAAACGAGACGGGGAAGGTCGTGAGGCCGCCCCCGGAGTCCCTGCAAACGGCCGCGAGGCAACCGGGGAAGAAGCAGGGGGAGCCGGAAGTGCCCCCTGCTTTCCACTACGCAGAGAAAAGTGGCCCAGTCAAAGTAAAGAGCAGCCTGCAGCCGGCCGGAAGCCCCCCCCAGGGTCCCCCCACGAAGGGTCATGTTGACGGGCTGCCCTTTGAGAGGGCTCTTCCTGGAGACAAGAGATTAGCGTGAGTCAAAAGCATCTCGTCTCTGTCAATCTCACGAGAGTTCACAAGTTAAGACCCCGCCCCCTTTTTGCTCCTCTAGAATGATACTGTATATTAATTTTGTTGAGCCCATCTTCTCTTCCCCACATACTGTTGATCTGTAGGCGGCTGGTGAGCGTTGCTCGTTCCAGGACATTCAGGGAGCACCAAGGAAAAATCCTCCTGGAGGGCAAACGCCTGATCTGTGATGCTCTGGATGCGGGAGCCAGCCCCCAGATGGTGTTCTTCAGCACGGCCGACCGTCTCCGGGAGCTGCCTTTGGACAGACTGAGAAGGGCAACGCTGGTCAAAGTCAAGTTTGAGGATATCAAACTTTGGTCTGACCTCGTGGCTCCACAAGGAGTGATTGGTAAGTAGTTTTTTTTTGTGTACATTATACCATGAAGTGCAGCCATTTTGAGCCCGTTTCTGATTTTCGGCTCGGTCTTCTGCAGCCATATTTGCCCGCCCGGACCCATCGCGCCTGAACTTCTCAAACAGGAGCCAGTCGGTGCCGCTGTCCCTGATCTGTGACAACGTCCGAGACCCCGGGAATCTGGGGACCATGCTGCGATGTGCGGCTGCTGCCGGCTGCCGTGATGTTCTCCTCACCAAGGGTGAGCTCACGTTAACGCACTCGGGCCCGGACGCGTGATCCCCGCCAGCAGTAACAACGGTTCCTGCTCCTCAACAGGTTGTGTGGACGTCTGGGAGCCCAAAGTCCTGCGCGCGGCCATGGGGGCGCATTTTCGACTTCCCATCTATCCCAGTCTGGACTGGGACGTCGTGGAAAAACACTTGTCAGCGTCAGTGACCGTCCACGTGGCGGACAGCTGCTGTGGTCCCGACAGGAGAGACGCGGAGGATGGTGTGACTCCGAAGGGCCCCAAAGCCGGAGACCTGGGCTGGATCAGCTCGCGGCCCAATCGCAAAAACGTCTGCTACGAGGATTACGACTCGGACTCTGAGGATGAGGGAGTTTCCCTCCCGAAAGTTGACACTAAGCTGTACCACGAGAGTTGGGCCCACAGTCCCACGGCTCTGGTCATAGGGGGGGAGACGCACGGCCTGAGTCTGGAAGCCGTGCGGTTGGCTGAGAAAAGCGACGGTCACAGGCTCTTCATTCCCGTCGTCCCGGACGTGGACAGTCTGAATTCTGCCATGGCAGCCAGCATCCTTTTGTTTGAGGGAAGACGGCAGCTGTTAAAACTACTGCAGACGTCCGGGAAAAAAAGGAAATCTGAAGCTGAGAGGCAGCTTTTATGACATTTCCTCTAAGTGTCAGACTGAATGAAATAAGCCAAACAGCCAAACCTGCTCTTCTGTAATGGAGATCCCTTTAAACCGGGGTTTGAAAAAATGAATGTCCCCACGTCTCTTATTTCTAGGATTCACCAGATTGACCCGTGGGCCTGTTATTTGAATGAGTAAATAGTAATTTAAACATTTTTCTTTTAGCTCAGGTAATTTAACAAGTGTCTTTCCTGGTGTTTCCACTACCAAACCAACCTCCTTATGGTGGGTTGCTTAATTTAAAGCGAAGACAGCTCTAACTTTGCAATAAAACAAATTCACCATTTGCTGTTGATTATTTTGTGATTTCCCACTGAAATGCCATCTATTTTCACATAAGCCATCTTTCTGGAAGTCCCATTTTCTTTTTTTAATTTTAGTTTAAGCAAAATATAATCTTTAAAAAAGTTATTTAATACATTCCATGAGGTTTAATGCCATCCGTGTTCTCTAAAAAAGCTGATCCATCGCACGAATGTTGTCACCATTTTGTTCACAGGTCCAAGAACCAACTTTACACATTTACACAACGTAAATCTTGTGCAGTGAATTTTTAATAGTTGTGAGAAGCCACGACTAAAGTAACAGATCTAACGGATTTGTACATTCAACACTTCTCAAAATACCATTTTTCTGCCTCCAAAAATAATCAAATGGCCTCTGTCATTTTAGGACCTTCACAGAAAATCCTCACAATGATTTTGAGATGAGAACCGCCCTTAAAAGCTGGCTAGAGATGATCCATACACACGCACACACATTCACAACTAAACACAGGGCTTTAAAACATCAGTCATGGGTCTACTACAAGCAAGCGACATGCTCCTTTCTGTGTGCACCAGCCATACTGCTTTCTTTATTTCTTATTTAAATAGGCTTACAGCTACATCTAATAAGATTGGGGCCATCTGCACTTCATGTGAGTCACAATTGTAAAAATGCATTTTTATTCCGTAACATCATTCAGCAAACAAAAGTGACATGGATTTTGCAGACAAAACAGAGAGCAAAGAATCGGCTTAATAAGTAGGTCCACTGGGTAATTCTCTGGTTTTGTCTAAGCTTCAGAAAATGCTATTGTGTAAAAACTCTTGAGGCCAAAAAAAAAAGAGGAAAAAAAAACAATCTCCATATATATTACTGTATGGACTATAATCAATGCAAGGCACCACAGGAGAGAGAGAGAGAGGACTCAATGGAAAGAGAAACATGTCTTACGAAAAAAACAGAGAAGCTAAAATGTCAGTAAAAATGAGCATTTTTCTAACAGTCAGCAGGGAGATGGGCCAGAATGTGGGATGCTGGGGGGGTGAGAGGTGATGGAATAGGTCAGGTTGGGATGATGGCGCGAGTCCCATATGGTGTGTCCGGTTTCGGCTCGGACTCGTTAAATGGGCTCAGGTTTGAGCTTCTCGGCCAGGAAGTCGCCGACGAACTGCTCCACCACGGCGGGCGTGATCTCCTCCACGTCCAGGACGTACTTGGCCCGGGCCGACATGTCCAGGATGGTGAGCAGAGGGGCCGCCTCGGGCAGGTTGGTGTAGTCCCGCAGGGAGTCGGTCATGTCGTCCTGTGGAGAAAGAGAGAATGAAACGTACCGTCAAAACTCTGGGAGCTTCAAAGGTAACACAAAGAAGTCCAGATGCTCAAAGTAAAAATGAATGTTGATATAGGATTTTCCTTTACTGCTCTGCAAAAGGAGAAATTCACATCGTTACCGAAGCAAAGTGGAAAGAGAACAATTAAGAGGTAGGCATGGATAATAAAACAGTTACAGAGCATTTTCAATCTGGTTAAATGTCTAAACGATTCACATAAGTGAAAAAAAAAAGTCCTGCATGGATGTATGACATTTTTAGCCTTCCTTTTTTTTAAAGAGACTCAGTCCCTGAGCCTCAACCCCCCCCCTCCTTTTGCTTAAAGAAGTTCAAGTAATGAAGCTGAAAGGAGGAGGAGAGGAGTGGTGGTGTAGTGGTTAGCATAGCTGCCTTCCAAGCAGTTGACCTGGGTTCGATTCCCGGCCAAAAACAGCTCCTCCTACCCTGTAAGTCGCTTTGGATAAAAGCGTCTGCCAAATGCATGAACATGAACATGAAATGTGAACAAAGTGTTGAGCGTCAGATGGGAAAATACAACTGGGAAATTACCGTAAATGTTTCAGAGAGACTTGTGTTTTCAAATTCACAGCTCCGGGTGGGAACTTCTGCATTGGATTTTCAGCTGATTCGACTCATCTGGAGAAAAACTCATCAGCTCAGATTTCAGAAAAGGGGGACAGCCTCCTTTATCTGAACTACGCTATGGTACCATTACCTCATCCAACCGTGAGCTGCCTGACACCATCTTTACTCATACACCCTCCTTCAAACAGAGTTTGAAACTCATCCGTCTGGAGAGTTTGTGCCTGCTGTGTGGAGAGACGGGATGGGACCCGGCGGGGGTCTAACAAGAGTTTTACCGGTTAAGATTTAAGTCCAATCACAGAGCATTTGAAAAGCTTGTGCGGGAAACATTGGGATGATACACAGGCTGGTGAAGGGGTGCGTTAAAAATAGATTATTAGCGGGCTCGGCTGGGGTCCCGTTTTATTTCTCAGCGGTTATTTTCAAAGAGCCTCACCCGTGTACAGCCTGAGGGCTGATGTCACCTTCACCCTTCAGCAAGTCAAACCTACAGCTGTAGCCAAAGGTAACATAAATGAATCACAAACAGGCCGACTGGCGCGCAGCAGCTTTCAAACAAGCTCGAGAATGCCATCAATTATTGAGACGGAATAAGAAATTCAGTTTCGGTTCCAGCTGGGAGAGCTTCTGCAGCTGGCATTCCTGCCTTCACAGAGATCCATTCTTCTTGTTTCCGTCTCCTCCAAGTTAAATGGGTTTCATGTGCTATGGTCCAACAGTTCACTCGAGTACAAACAGCAAATATTGCACTATGGTTTGAGCTTTACATATTCAAAGTGCACATGTTTGAGCCAAAAGCTGTGAACTTTGTGTGGAAGATCCGGTGAATCAAAGACTTGGCTACCTTAAAGGAGATTGTAATTATGTTGCGGATCTGACGGTGCTCAGACTCCCTCTGATTCTCATGACCCGACTTCCCCCCTTTGGCTTTGTTTTCCGGCTCAGTGGGGAAAATCACAAAGATTAAAGATGAGTTTCATATGGAAAAGATCAAGCTGCGCATGCAGGCGTTCTGAGGGGAGGCCAGAGGGGGGCGCTGCAGCAGAGGACGGGGCTTTCTCTGATCCCAACACCTTGGGCTACTGATTTATGCACCACTTTGAACCGTTTTCGTCTTTGAGTGAATTTCCAGCGACATTAAAAACTCAAACACCGTGCCCTCTCGGCTCTTTGTTCTGGTCAGACTGAGTTAACTGGAGTGGTGCTTGTAACTACAAAGAGATGACGAAGCCAAGTCTAAGGACCTACTTTGACTTTGACAAACTGCTAAGAGACAGAACAGATAAAATGCAGCGTGGCGTTTAGTCAAAAACAGCTCATTTCCTCTGAACTGAGCCCATTTTATTAGGCAGCAAATCACCAATAGCCGTCAAAGACGCCGTCACACACTAAAACACTCCTTTTTTCTTTTTTTAAACTCTTCCTACAGCTGAAGCCCCCCCTTTCAGGGCACTCTTGCAGCCACATAAATCTTACAGATCTTACAGATCTTCTGGGCACAGAGTGTGAAGAAACCACAAAGAGAGAAATGCCACAATCTGCCACTCTGGCCTTTTGCTGCCTCCCTGATATGAGAAGATGTAATCTCTGCATCAGTCTGCACCTCGGGAGGAAGTCAGGCATCTTCTTTTGTGAGGCTTCCCTGCTTGTGTCAACTGACTATCTTGAGGTGAAGTTGTTCCAGAGCCACCCCCCCCCCCGCAGCTCAGCCCAGACAAAAAAAAGACAAAGGGCTTCACGCCTGTTGCCTTTACTCAAAGCTGTGGTAAAGCTCAGCGTGCGCTCGCCGGCACTGTCAGGATTATTCAGATTTTTGTCACACCGCGGCTTCTTGGAGATGATGACCATCTGACAGTGTCCCCAGGTGGTCCCTGAGCCGTTGGACAGACCTGGAGGACGTCCTGAACACATGAGGTCAGCACTGTTTGCTCAGCTACCAACATGATCAGGAGTTGTTTGAGATTAGTTTTAAAACGGACCGAGCATTCTCAATCTCTCTGCTAATGTCCTGATTGTAAGCAGTTGTGTCATTTATCGGATGCAGCTTAGTGTTAGCAGGCTAACATTTGCAAAACATGGTCCGTTTTGAACAGTTTATCCTTAAAGGCAACCAGTTCCAGGGGATTCACAGTTCACTCATGAACAATCTTTATCACGGTGAAAAACTGAATCCAAACATTTCCCAGATGGGAACTCACAGGTTGTGGCTGATGTCTTTCCTCAAAGACACTGTATTTAAACACACACCTAAAGACTTTTTAAAAATCTTATTATCAGACCCTGATATGGAAAATCTAAATACTGGAAATGAATATGCTCCTTAATTTTATAAGATCATTTATAGCTTGGAACTACTAAGATGCAGCATTTCTGCTAACAAATAATCGTTGTTGACACCAAAATTCTTTAAGGTCTAACTGGAAACCTGACAGTGATGATGTAGGACGGCAAATGGGAACACCAGAGTCTGTTAAAGCCATCCGCGGGGCACTATGATCGTTTATCATATGTTGCTACAATCTCTCAAACAGTTGTTGAAACTTTTGATTTATCACCACTCTTCATAACCTCTTGGTGGCACTAGAGGGAAGGCAAGAGCCAAACAAAAATAGAGGGGCGTCAGAATTTCAGACCGCTTATCCAATAATGGTGTCATTTCTTGCGTCTGCCCTGTGTAAATAAGTAAAAAGGTCTCCCATTTTGCGCGTGTAAACCGGCCACACCACTCTGTGGTTTATGTTTAGTTTTCACAGTGGGGTGAGAGGATCTGCCCTCAGCTGGTCCCTGAGAAGGTGCCAGCATACTGCTGTCTCATGGACACAGAAAAACCCAGCTGCTGGCTTGGCAGTGACGCGTGCGACTAGCAGGGCAAACGCGGGCCAAGGTGAAGGCGTCCGGGCCCAGAGCCTGGAAGCCCCGGCGAACGCCTGTAATGGGAAGAGACATCCGACTGTGCAGCCAGTCTGGAAATGAAACGTGGTGGTTTCAGCCAGGAAATCATACCTGCACTAACATGGATGTGAAACACACGGCTCCGCATTGGTGCCACGAGGGGAGCAAAGCAAACACAGACTGCAGCTATTACTGCAACAAGCTCCCGAATGACCACAAACGCCAACACAACAGCGTTTCTTTGTGTAAGGTCACATAAATATTGGCTCTAAGACATCGAACCGCTAACGCTATCGCGGCGGATCTAATTTTTCTGAAAACCTGAGCAAGTCTGGCTCCCTGTTCCTGTGTAACTGACATTTCAAGGCTGACATTGGAGTGGAGCAGTCAGGGTGGTGCTGACAGCACATGTGCAGCCCCGCGGCCGAAACCCGAGCGGGCTTTTTTAGTACACGACACAAGAAACCAGCACTATTCTCCCAGATGGCAGGGCAGAGAGAAAAACCCCCGGAGCAAGCCGTGCTGGAAGGCAGAGAACAGGAGGGCCGGGGAGAGGTAGCTAATCTGGTAATTACGTGTGCTCCTCCTGCTAACACCACCAGCCCTGGAAAGGTCAAGAAACAACAACACGAGATAAGATACAGTCTGGAAACTCAATGGGAAAAACTGCGCTAGATACGGAGGCTGGGAGGAGGATTTGGAAAAAAGAACGCTGTCCAAAAAGCTGGGGGTCCGCCCACGATAACAGTAGCACATGTTGACTTGTGGTTGATGGACAGAGTGTGTGTGTGTAAAATTCAACATCAAGCTGTTTCAAAACACTCTCTGCCATAAGATATGTTTCTTTCTCTTTTTTTTCTGCTCAACACATTTTATCAGAGTAATTGAAACAGTTAGTGTTATTGGTGTTGATATAGGTGATATTTGGCTAAAAAAGTGTTAAATGGATCTAAAATAAAGTTTTAGAAACTGACAGTCTTCTCAGAAACAATCACATTAATTACATATCTGTCTGTAAGTATGGATATTTTTTGCAAAATTATTAACATCTTTAAAAAAAAATCTTTTTTCAAATCATTTACAGGAATGCTTAAATTTATATTTACATTCCAAAAGCATCTAATCAGGATTAAGTATTTTTCCTTTCTTGGAATGTTTAAAGTGGTAATATAAGAAAAGCAGTATTTCCTGAACTAATGTAGATAATGTGTAAAACGTGTTTTAATTTCTATGCGCTGGAACTAATGGGTCCAATTGACTTTTTCTTGAAAATTGTTTAAAATGATGAAGTCTGGAATGTGCACTTTGGTCACGCCTGAGCCATTTATTTCGGAGGACCAACTCCAACAAAAAATAGGGCTTTGTCCCAAAAGCCATGGTGGACACATGCAACTGGTAAAAAATTAGTCAACCCTTAACCCACATTTTTTTCTTTACACACTAGCTACAAAGACAAAAACAAACAAACTAAAAAAGCCCTTTTGCTGACTGGATTAAAAAAGAAAAAGAAAAGAAAAAAAAGCCTTCAAGGACAAACACTGTAGAAAGTTAACTTTTTTAATTCAAGAGTTATTACTCCATATAAAAGAACATGAATAGATGATTTAAAATCTATCAAGTTGACAGCAGCTTTTACTGACCTCTCCCGCCACAAAGAACAGCAGCGGCGTCTCCTCCTCCTTGGCTTTGTACTTGGCCATGAGCTTCTCTGCTATTGGCTGAATCAACTCCTTGGCTGGCTCCAGTTCCCCTTCCTCTTCAGCATCTGAAAAAAAAAAAAAAAAAAAAATCAAAAGACATAAAATTATGTTAATATGGACATAAAATATGAAACCACCTGGGACAGTAAAAATGGGGGGAGAGGGTTTCTGCCTGGTTTGACGACGAGACTTAAGGAGCCGCTCGTATTTTCAGCGTGCATTCCTGGAATTTTCTGATTTATTAAGTCATAAAAACTGTTCTGTATTCTCATCCAAAAGCTTTGAAACTACTAAAAAAAAAAATTCTGCACCTTCTGGATTAGCACGTCAATACATGCGTAGAAGTGCACGTCTGAAACCCCTATACAGAAATCCTCTTCCACACAGTTTGAAACTCAGCATGCTCTCGCGGTAAACAGCATTTCATTCTGGCAGAGCCACCCCCCCCCTTGCGTGGAGCCAAACTGAATTATGAATCGCCATCAACTGACCCACAAACAGGACGAGGCAGGGCCCCTCGTGGAGCTGCACGGCGTTGGACTCGCTGAGCTCCAGCACGGGCCGGGGGTGCCAGGGGAAGAGCCTGCACTCCGGGTCATTCAGCACCTCCACCCGGCCCTGCCGCGTGATCACGTGACCTTCCGTATCCAACAGAATCAGCGTGGGAATACCTGGGGAGGCAGAGATGAAACGAGGGGTGGAGGTGAGAGGAAGGCCGGCGGAGGAAGGGAGGAAATGGGCTGGAGTGTGGGAGTTAGTTTGACTCATTTCCGCCAATTATTGCCTCACCATGCAGATGCTTCCCGCTCCCACTGGGACCTCATTTGCTTTGTTTTGATTCCGTTACCTTTCCAACGACTTTCCCCCTTTCTAGTTCTCCTGCAATGTATTTTTATCTTACCATTTTGTTAATATATTTAGCCCCGACGATTACAATCTGCTCATCTTATTAACAGCCTTATTGGGAACTGATACCATCGAACAGCTAGCTGAGCTGGAGTCAGTTTGTTCCCCTCTGCGCATGTGGACTGAGCCCTGATGGGGGGGGGGGGGGGGCCTTAATGGGCTGCTGGGGTTTTTTAGTGGAGCAGCGACGCAGTGTTTACCCGTCCGCTTCGCATTCCTCACATTCTTTGCAGGACACGCCGAGAGGAGCCAGCTCAGCTAGCCTCATTCACAGTCCTCTGCACATGCACAGAGGGGGGGGGGGGGAACGGGGAGAAAAAGGAGCGACGTCGGTAAGACGGTGGAACTTGATAACCAGCTCACATTCCTGGGGGCTGCGGGGCCATCGGTGGTGCTGCCTGCAGCACAGGGCTGTCAGCCACTGTGCCAGCTTGTGACATTAGTAAGCCAGGCAGGGATGGAAAAAAAAAACTCTCTACTCTTACTTTAAGGACTGTGGGTCTGAGGCATTTTAAAGAGGATGCAGCTGGCAAAAGTACCCTGTATCCCGTAGAGTCTGTTGAGCCGTGATCGTCTCGCCTCATCTGAATACGGCACCGCCAACCACGGCATCTCGCTGAAGTACTGCTTAAAAGACTCCTCCGACCTGAAAGGATGACAACATTTAAAGAAAATGAGCATTTTCGCTCTTTTAACAGACAGAGAGAAAGGTTCCATGAGCTGGTCCCACCTGTCTGCGCTGACGAACACGATCTCAAACTTATGCCCCGACTCTTTGATTATCCGGTAGGATTCCACCAGGACCCGGGTCAGACTGCGGCAGGGTGGACACTGGAAGCAGACAAACGGGGCCCATTAGTTTCCGCAAAGCAGCCGCTTTGATTGCTTGGGTTTTCCCCAAAGCGTTCCCACTATTTGTCACCAAACATCTTTCCACAGGCTGCCAGTTCTTCCCCTTGTTTTGAATCCAGCTGCTTTTAAACACATACCGGGCAGTAATCCTGCTGCCGTACTGTAGATTAGGAAAAATATTTGCTCTGTTGTGTGTGCACGGAGAGGCCACGGTCTCTCCAGGCTGAAAAAGGGGGGGGGGGGGGGGGGGGTGGCATTAAGATTACATCAGAGTGTCATGGCAGGAGGAAGAAAAACAGAACAACATTAACTCTGAACCTCATTCCCATGAGCTGTGCCCCTCCCCAACTACCTACCAGATGCTAAAGTAGGACGGGAGCAGCTATCATCATGCATGAATCAATATGAAATAGACATGCAGAGGAATTTGCTTTAATAACTCTTGTAAACGAGAGCGCGATCTGAGCATTTATTCTCATTCAGTGAGTTATTTTCTCATTTCCTAGTCGGCATCAAACTGATGCGATTCAATTCTATTATCAAACCGGAAATTAAAGAATCAGTGACCACTAGAAAATGACAGCATTAAAATGAGTACTTTAATAAGTATTTATGGTCAATTAGTTATCTTGTAACCTTGCTGTGCGACTGCGAGCATCTCTTTTACATGTTCCAGCTTTTTCGATTATTTTGTTTGTTTCTATTACACATCATATTCTGAAAAGCTTAATTAGCTGCCTTAGATTTTCATTTAAATTCCACTTGCTGCTGGATACATGCTCTGTTATTTACCCACATAAGTGACTGTGTGAGACACACTTGTTTGCTGCTCATTAACAGATTTACCATCTTGCTCATTCACACTGAAAGTCGTCTTCCTTTTGTCCATGTCAGTGAAAATATTTCATTATGACGTCCATTTTGGGCTTTTGTTACATGTTTACTGAAGTAGCAAAAGCAGAATAATTATGAGCTCTTCATTTGAGAAAAGTCCAGGTCACACTGCCGTCATCTAAAGGTCACTTCTGGCCATTGAGTCGCTGTTCGTCATGTCTGTAAAATGACTTTTATAGCGAGTAGCTTTACACAAGTAGGCAGGGGAATGGGGTGGAAAATCACAAAGAACACAAATGAACTCCTGTTGTGGTCTTTGTGACGTCTTCTCTCCGCATTTAATGGCTTCAGAGAGTGAGCCGGCTGTGACGCTGGCAGCTGTCGTGCTGACCGCATCTCATCAGTTACGGTTTGCTGACCGTTTAGCAGGAGATCAGTGAGTCGTGACCCTCGGCAGCTCCAGAACTAAGAGACACAAACGCCTGATGTCGCTAAGGGTGTGGTGGCTGATCCAGATGTGGGAGCAAAAAAAGACAGACGGACACCACTGGCCACACAGGGCTGCCGTCTCTCATCATGCTCTGCCCCTTCCTGTTCTGCTCTGCTCTTTCCACTCCCCAGTGTCTGTGTCTTCAAAGATTGAACGGATCAGGAAGGTAAAAACTGGAGCGATCTTTGTTTTCTTTCTGTTCTCGGCGCTCACCCAGTGTGCTGAGAAATACACTCCCACGTAGTGTCCCTCCAGAGAGCTGCAGTCTGTTGTCTGTCTGTTGTTCCTGAACAGAGGTCCCGCCACCACCTCTGCGAATGGCTTCGGACCCCAGGGAAACTCCAGGCCTGAGAGAGGGAGGGCAAGAGGAGGGGTAAAAATCAAATGGGGACGATCAGTGAAAAAGCAAAGAGGTTATAGCAACGACTTCACTTTAATTGCTAATGCTCTAATATTAACAATCAAAAAATGACTATTCTGACATTAATTCGTAACATAAATTCAAGATATATGATGGATCATTTCAATAACTGTGCAACCGTTGAGCTTCAAATGTTAAACTCCTAGTTTAAATAGTAGGGGGAGAATTTCCTGGGAGCCACAGATCTGACCAAAAATGATTTGGAATCCTAAAGCTTCATCAGTGTCTAAAACTAGATGAAAGAATTGAGCCACCAGCATGGCTCAGAGACCAGTCGCCATTGGGTGATGATTAGAGGCATTTGTTGTATTGTGCACATCAGACATGTTTTATATCCGCTTTTGAAAAAAAAAGCACCTTGAACACGCCGGCAAAAAAAAATGACTTCAATGCACGCTAAAAGCAAAGCCGCTCACACAAATGCCTCCCCCCTCCTCACTTTCACACTTTCCATGTCCTTTTCTTTGTTCTTGTCCTGCTTTGGTTATCCATCTGGTAGAACATTTTTAAAAGGGAGCAATATTACATAAAACCGTGCATGGCTGCTTCATGGTGGCCGGCTATCAAAGGCTTCATTAGGCCGGAACGATGTGGTTGCTCCACACTCGCATGGCCTTTCATTGTCGTCTTGATTGTCAGAGTGTACTCCAACTTTCCTCTTCAGGCTAGTCTGTTGCCACTCAAGTCAGGCCTTTCATTTAGAGAGAAAGGACGAGGGTCCTGAATGGCTCCCCCCCCCTTCCCAGTCTAAGTGAATGGCCAACGTTCACCTGGCCTGTGCCTGTCTGAACCGTGGCAGGTGGAGATTAACTCCTCTGTTTCTGTCAAATACAGACAAACTGCCAGAGGTACGTTTCCCTTAGCAAAGCAAACATGTTTGGCATGCGACGTATTCAGATTAGAATTCTGTTTTTAAATTTTGTTTTATTATAATTCTGCTGCTGAATAGGACTGCATTATTTCACTTTTTGTCTATTTACCATCTCTGTATGTTTAGTTTGGAGGAATATATATATATATATATATATATATGTAGAGAGAGAGAGAGAGAGAGAGAGAGAGAAGAGAGAGAGATAGCCTATATACATTTAATAATAAGTTAAATATTCCGGCTGGCTTTTATAAAACTGTCATAACTCTCATACCAAATCCATCCTGTCTCGCTGTTCTTCCAGTCAGTGTTCTCAAAAACGGACCACATACCAACACTTTATTTTTTCAGTCTGGCCAAACAGGGCATGAAGAGACAGCGTTTTAAAACACTTAGATTTTCGCAGCCTCTGAGGACGCCCGCAGTACAGGAGAGGAAAGCAAGCCTACTCTTGTTAATTCTCCATCTCCACTTCAAAGTACAGAAATGATAGGTTTAGCTGTTGAGGGACTGAGACATGGACACACTACAATATTCGTGCAGACCATAATTATAGCTGCATTAACTTAGACAAGCAGGGAAAGGTTTTAGTCGAATGCTGACTGGTCCCAGAGGAATATCTCCAGCATAGATGGTGTGGCAAGACGTGCAAGGTGTCTTAAACTTAAACCCTAGCCAAAGCATTTACTTTAAAGCAAAGCATTTACACTTTGGTTTACTCAAGTTTATTTTTTCTTCCCTAAAATGAAACGGTGTAGCAGGTTAGACACTTCAATTGTATTAGTTCTATTATTGTGATTTGAAGAGCTGCATGTTGTTATTCTGTTTGTAATTCTGTGGTTAATAGTCCTATCCCTGAGTATAAAAAGTCTAAAAATTCAGTCCAACTTTAACTGTTGTCAGGTTGCCCCGTTGCAATATCCCTCTCACATTTACTCACAATGCAAACATCAATTCTACAACTGAATCCGATTTCCCACAAGGTTTTCCATTGTTTGAGATTTTGACTGAGGTCTGTTGAGTACAAACACTAATCCACATTAACACACCCTTTATTTTAATAAGCCTTTGCGTATTTAGATAGAATTTTGAATTTATTTCATATCCAAGCTGTTGACTTGTGTATTATACAGATTTATAATTATAAGTACTACCTGCTATTGTTTAATTGGAGACCAAAACAGTAAACAGTCTAATGTGAAGACACAGTGAGTGATTTAGGTATTAACAGCTTGAAACACTAAAATAATGTTATTCATCAAGAATTAAGTGTTATCCAAAAATGACAGATATGGAGTGTGAGACATTTTTATTGTTAATAATAATCCTAATAATTGGGTAAATGATGGTTTGCTTTATGGTTAACCAGTGGTAAAAGGCTCAGATCAGTGAGAAGGCTTCCCAAACATAATGTTGAGTGTGTGTGTGTGTGTGTGTGGGGCTGTTTGATTTCACCTTTTGGGTCATCTCTGACCACCAGCAGACCATTTCGACACACAATCTTCCCCGTGGCCGAGTCCACAAACACCAGAGACGGGATGCTGGTCACCTTGTACTTGTTCCACAGCTTCATCTGCAGAGGTAAAAGGACGACAGACACGATGATACGGTTCAATCTGAGCTGTGGAGAAACAACTGACTCATTCTAAAGTTGCATCTCCTGCCTGTTTACATGATAATATAAAAGTGCTAAATGCGTTTTACCTGACAAACGCTGTCGGTTAAAAAGAGAAGCCTGGGACTAACTAGAAAAGCAAACCTTGAGTAAAATGACCAGAGGGCAGGAAGCACCCTGCTGTTTTTTTTAACAGAGCATGAATCAGACTAAACTCACACTGTACAACATACAAGATAAAGGGGAGATGTGTGGTTTCCGACTCATACTTTGACAGGCATTTTATGAACACTCATTGGCCTCACAGCTAACCATAATAGTTTTAAACGACTGTAGCGATTATATCCATGCACTCTCATAAAAGGCAGAGAAGAAGCCTTATGGAGAAAAGAAAAATGCATAGTGTTAAATGATCAGCACACTTCTGAACATGAGAAGAGCAAGTGAACCATTTTTGAGACTCCCTTTTCACATCAGAGGCAGGATATTACCCCGGGAAATTTAAAAAAGCAGCAACTTGCGTTATGCAGTGTTTCTCCAAAAAAAAGCCCTGAGACAAGCAATCCGAATTTCGAAGAGGAAATGTAAAGATAGCCTATATGTGTGTGTGTCACTCCTTTATAGTCAACATACATTATCAAAGGAAAACCTCGTCCCTGATCAAAGCATTAAACCAATCTCCATACACCTCCGTGGCTTTTAGCTGAGCAAACGTAAGGCAAACGACTCGGGTTTTAATAAGAGCAGAACCCTTTTGCACAGGGCCTGTTTTCCTCATCCTGCGAGCTGCTGCTGAGTGTGTGACAGCCGCAGAGGTCGACCGCAGATCCTCCCTGACAGCAGAGGGGCAGACGGCCTGTCCCGTGGACAGGACGACCCGGAGCCTCCCGACTGCGCTGGTCTGGACGGCCCTCAAAAGCAAACGTCTGCCTCACTCAACAGTTTTACCACATGCTTCAGGCTCCTCTGGAAACTCAATCTTTACTCCCAAATAGATGGGTTAAGGGGCTTCAACGGCAACTGTGCAACTAAATGGACCGCTGTCATCTCTAGTGATGATGTAGGGTTGAAATTCATAGAAATGAACAGATCGACCCTTTTTTTTTACCTGTGGAAACGGGGGGGATCATCTGTCACATCCCCCAAACAACCTTTTCTCATTGTGTTAGAATCTATTATAGGGATGAAAAAACCCACAAAGTGTCACTTGATAGGTTGTTAAAAGAAAAACAAAAACAAAACCTCCCTCATGCTTTCAGCTCTCCTCACATTTCCGTTTCATTCTGTTAAATAAACAGCTCCAGCAATAATGACTAGGTGTTAAAGACGCCTCTGTCATTTGATGAATGTGTTTCTGCTGTTGTAGAAAAAAAAAAACGCAGGAGCAAATTGGGAACTATTGCGTTCTTGCCAAGACTTGCATGAAAAGGATTGACATTACTCACATATCAGCGGAGGAAATATGAAGCAAAAACTAGCTGCCACTCAGCCTGGCTCAAAGTTAAACTGTTAGAGAAAGCAAATTGTCATACTTTAAGCCCTAATTATGGGGCTTTAGACGCGATTTAGAACTTGAAATGAAACTGAACAACATTGCCCAACACATCCTGATTCTACTAGATTTAGATTCACTGTATGAATAAAAATGCAAGCAAATAATTACTGAACAGCAAAGAATTACCTGGTTTCCCAGGTTTCCTATTTATTAGTAAAAATTCTGGATGCATTAGGATGTCGTAATTACGAGAAAAGATCTTGTAATTAGGACATCTCATACAGGCTCTGGATTTGGATGGTCCAAATAAAAAAAATAAAGTGTTCAAAAATTAGACAATGTGTTTTAAAGTCTCTTTACCCTATTTAGAATAAATCTATTCAGATTTCAGCAGCAGAGCTACTGTAATTTCCAGACAGGACCCAGTTTAGTGTGATCATAATGCAAAAAAAAGAGTAAAATGCTCCTGTTTTCCATTTTTACTAATCAAAAAAAGTTTTCACAAATTCTAAATAAGATCTTTTCTCGTAATTACAACATCCTGATATCATAATTACAACATCCTGATATCATAATTACGAGATAAGCTGTGTTATGTTTTCTTTTTTTAGTGAATGCAATGCGCTAGTACATAATAGATCAAGCATGCCTCCACATGGCTTTCAAAGCTACTCGTTACCAATGTCTACAAAGTATGTAACGGCAAAGCCACGCAGGAGGCTTGGCTGTACCATTACATAGTGGTTTAACTATGCCAATAACACTTGTAGGGAGGTCACAAACTGTTCAGACTCTGGGGGGTTGGGAATCCATACTAAGAATCCATTTACCCTCCAAGACATGTAAGCATTATCTTCACCCCGGGCCCGCAGCTCATCGTAGTAATTGGATCACGCATGGCTGCGGATCCATATCCAGAAGGAGAAGGCAGATCAGCCCACTGTGGGACCCGCGTGTGGACACACCAGGGCTGAAAATCTCCACTGATCAAAGGAAATGCTGATTCTTTTCAGAGGCTGCTTGGTGGGATCATTGACTGCACTCATTTACTACCAGAGCCTGTTAGAGGGGAAATGAGAAAGAAAAAAAAAAAAAAAGCAGGGAAACAACCCCCATTTCACTCCACTATATCATTGCCATGTTCTATGTCATGCGTGACGGTTGCCTTCATGCTTCTTTGCACTATTATACTTTATGGCTACATTTTGAACTTTGAAAGGGGGTTAACTTAGGTAGAGACGCTCAACAGTGTGTGCAGTGAAACAGAAATCCACACACATCTGCTTCAGCTTTGGCTCAGTCCCCTCTGAAAAGCCCGTAGCCTACCCGGCAATAAAATTCCACCTCCGAGACAAACCCACAATGGCCGTAGAGTGGATTGTGTCACTCAGTCGAGAGAAAGTGCGGGAGGAATTTACTTCACTCGACACTGCCAATTCATAAATGATTGTCTGGGCCTTATCTCCTCACAGATCAGCTTTCACTGGACTGGTGTGGCCCGAGGCGTCTGCCAGACGCTCCCACTGCAGCCTCACTACAACAGCGCCTCTACAAAGGAAAGCGAACCCTTTACGACTCCACACATGAGAGGTGTCCTGCTGCGGTGCTGATAACAGCTCATTCCTTTATCTTTGCACCTTATAGGAGGGAGAAATGCTGATAATTCAATTGATGCCTTGGAGGAAAAAAAAAAAAAAAAAGGACTCGGGCACATAAGATTTGTGGAATTTCCTTTACCCCAGTTATTAACTCTCTGTGGCATTTTCTAATCAGCAAAAATATACCAAGTATTGACTTTTTAATCACTTCAAGGGGAATTTTGCACAAAAAAAATCCAGTTCCAGCTTTTTTGTTGTGATTGAGAGATTTAGAAGAGGGGTGGTTTTGCTAAATCAAAATGTCCTAAACGGAGTAGATATGTATTGTGATCAAAAGCTATATTAGTTGTCAAATGGGAAAGCGATTGCTGGGAGATTGTCTGATGGTCAGACCGACCCCTCGAGACACGTTCAACAAAGGCAGTTGCATTTCAATAGAGCTTTTTTAAAAATGAGGACATTCGGTGTCTGACTGCACAGATTTGCTGTAGTGGGGCAGAAAAAAAAAGCAGACTCCCAGGCTTCTTTTAGTGATAAAGCCATGACCTGTGCAGCATGGGCTCCAAATATATTCAGCTTAACATGTTGGTGCACAGAAGCATCAACACTTCATTCATCATGTACAAGTCTTGAGCTTTTAAGGCAAAACCTGAAGCAAACTGCATTTTCTTCTCACTTCTCAGGTTGCAGAGGGATGAGAAATAACCCTCCTCTGGCTGCTCCGCCGTGCCTCCCTTTCGGCTGGGCCCCTGCAGCCAGATTTTACTTGCATTCCTCCAGGCCGAACACCGCCTCTGCTCAGTCTGCTCCCGGGGCTCTCAGTAACCGCCTGTATCCACTTCAAAAACGCTGTTGCTGCTCTTCACGGCTACAAAGAAAAGCCTTCCCTCCCACCTCTCGGCTGTACTTCAGCTCACACCACACCGTGTGCCGTGAGCTGTGCGTTGCTCCGCGCTTCTCCCCGGTCCCACACCAGTGCTGCATATTCATGCTGACCCCTGTGACAACTGGACATCTGCAGATGTGTCATTTCACACAGAAGTATCCATCTGTGTAACTATCACTCGTTTCCGCCATATGCTTTTTGTATGATTTATTTTTCAGAAGTGTTCCAACCAGGGACGTTTTTGTCCAGAGAGCGACGGCTACGTTCATAAAATAACAAAAAAAAAAAATAACACGGCATCCACTCCAACCAGCTCCATTGTGCTCATTACAGAGATCATCCCACACCAAGCAGCCACTGTGATGATAAAATGTGCTTCCTAAGGCCCAGAGCTGGAAGCTTAATGCTGGTTCAAACCATGACTTCAATATTCAATTTCTACCCTTGTATTATTACTATTTAATACAAATTTTGCAGGTGAAGTATTTTGTTTGCAGATTCTAAAGAACACAGATGGGAGACAGAGGCTAAATTACTTTTTTTTTTTCCCAATAAAAGCCCCCTTGTTGCCAAGGAAACCAACCCCCTTCCCATCACCCTCCATCAAGTCAGGACATGTCACCAAGTGGCAGACACTGTGGGCTCTTAGTTAATAATTCAGTGCTAAATAAATGGTTTTGTGAGGAAAACAGGTGCAAGAATGTCAGAGGGGTTTTGGGGAAAAGAGTCCAGCAGAAAGAAAAAGAAAAGTGAATAAGGAAGTGAGAAAGGGTGTGTGTGCGGACGGGGGGGATTTTTCTTGTAAAAAGGACAAAAGCGACCCCTTGAATACAGGCTCTAAATCCAAATTTGAAACCTGCATGGCCAGTTTTTTATGTTGCGAAGAAGGCAACGTAAAAAAAAAAGGCGGGGGGGGGATTGTAAAGGAGTAAAAAGCCAGAGCTCAATAGGTATCTGCAGCATTGTCTCCCTGCAGGAGCGGGCTGAGGCCCCGAGGCCGACATTCAGCGGGGTCAGGGGT